ATTTCCTTATTGTTAGTCGTGATCTCTCTCTTTGCATTCATAATTCTATTAATTTGGGTCTTCTTTCTTTCCTTTTGGATTAGTTTGGCCAATGGTTTATAGATCTTATTGTTTCTTTCAAAAAACCAGCTTCTAGTTTCATTGATGGGTTCTACTGTATCTCTAGTTTCTATCTCATTGATCTCTGCTCTAATCTTGATTATTTCCCTTCTTGAGTTTGGGGTTGGCTAAATTTGTTGTTGATTCTCCTGTTCTTCAAGGCGTAAAGAGAGCTGGTGTATTCTGGATTTTTCCTTTTTTTTTTTTTTTTTTTTTTTTGAGGGAGGTTTGGATGGCTATGTATTTCCCCCTTAGGACTACCTTTGCCATATCCCATAGGTTTTGGAGCAAAGTGTCTTCATTCTCATTGGTTTCAATGAATTGTTTAAGTTCTTCTTTGATTGCCTGGTTGACCCAAACATTCTTAAGCAAGGTGGTCTTTAGCTTCCAGTTGTTTGAATTCCTCCCAAACTTTTTCTTGTGGTTGAGCTCCAGTTTCAAAGCATTGTGATCTGAGACTATGCAAGGAATAATCTCAGTCTTTTGGTATCGGTTGAGCCCTGATTTGTGACCCAGTATGTGGTCTATTCTGGAGAAAGTTCCATCTGCACTCTAGAAGAATGAGTATTCTGTTGTTTTAGGGTGGAATGTTCTGTATATGTCTGTGAGGTCCATTTGGTCCAATGGGTCATTCAATGCTCTTGTTTCTTTATTGATTTTCTGCTTCGATGATCTATTTCTGAGAGAGGCGTGTTAAGATCTCCTACTATTAATGTATTCATATCAATATGACTCTTTATCTTGATTAACAGTTGTCTTATGTAATTGGCTGCTCCCATATTGGGGGCATAAATATTTACAATTGTTAGATCTTCTTGGTGGAGAGACTCTTTAAGTATGATGTAATGTCCTTCTGTATCTCTGACTACAGTCTTCAGTTTAAAATCTAATTTATCTGATATGAGAATTGCTACCACAGCCTTCTTTTGAGGCCCATTGGCATGAAAGATGCTTCTCCATCCCTTCACTTCCAGTCTGGATGTATCCTTAGGTTCAAAAGGTTCACATACTCTTTTAAACCTTGCTGGTCTTAGAAGCTCTTTATCTCTCCATCCATTTTGAATGTCAACCTTGCTAGATAAAGTATTCTTGGCTGCATGTTCTTTTTCTTTAGTGCCCTTAATACATCTTGCCAGCCCTTTCTGGCTTGCCAGGTTTCTGTGGACAGGTCTGATGTTATTCTGATGGGCCTTCCTCTGTACATAAGGAATATCTTCCTCCTAGATGCTTTCAAGAGCTCCTGTCTAAAATTGTGATTCATCATTTTCACAACCAGATGTCTCTCAAGGTCTTTCTAGATTCTATGATCTTGGGGGGAGACCTTTCCGACTGTAGGACACGAACGCTGGCTCCAGTCTCCAGACTGGGAAAATTTTCATGGCGAGTTTGTTCATCTATATCTTCTAGTCTTCTTTCTTTCTCCTCCCCCCTTAGGAATTCCTATAATTCTGACTTTGGAAAGTTTCATAGCATCATTTATTTCCCTAATTCTGTTTTCATAGCTTCTAAACTGTTCCATTTCTCCTTCTGATCCTTTTTCTCTATCAGTTTGTCCTCTAGATCACTAATTCTATCTTTTGCCTCAGTTACCCTAGCTGCTAGAGAATTTAGATTAGATAGGAACTCATTGATAGCATTGTTAACATCATCCCTGGTGGCTTTCACTTCTGCCCTAATCAATTCCGTTTTGTCATTAATGGCTTTCTTCAACCTAGCCATTTCCTGGATAATTCTTAGCCTGGATTCCCTTTCTGACATACTGTTTATGTCCATATCCAATAGCTCTGATGGAGAGGGCCCAGTATCTGAATTTTTCCTCTTCTGGGAATTCTTCCTCCTAGTCATTTTGGTGAGAGATGGCTGAGGGGATGTGTAGCTGAATGTATCAACCATGATCCAGGCAAGGTGCACCCTGAAACACTTTTGAGCAATCAGGAGTCCCCACCAAAAAGAGAGAAAAAAGAGAGAGAGATATAGGGGAAAAAAAGAGAAAGAGAGAGAAGACCCAGCCCAAATGGGTCCCAAAGGTAAGATTTATAAAGTATACAAACAAGAACAGACAAACAAAAAGACCGACAAAAGTAAATGACAAGGGGAAAAAAAGAACCAGCCAAAATGAACCCCAAGTATATGATTTATATACTAGCAGAACAAAAACAAATACACAGAAACACTGACATAAGAAAAAAGATGGGAGGGTGGGTATAAATGCTCAGTGTGAGCCAGGAAGGTTATTTTGATTCTTCTTGGGTATATCTTTTTTGTTGTTGTTGTTAGAGAAGAGTTTAATTTTTTTTTCTTTTTTTTTAATCATTTTTAAATTTATTTTTAGCATAACAGTATTCATTGTTTTTGTACCACACCCAGTGCTCCTGGGTATATCTTGATATCTTTGTTAAAGGACTCAACTTTCCTGAGATAAAGGGGGATTCAAACTGGTTTACATAGAGAAGTAGTATTAACTGGGAAAAGATGATTACCTTGAAGCTTATATCTATATAAATATTTTAAAAAATAGAAAATCAAAAGAAAAACACAGGTATATATATCCAAAAATGTTCAAGTTAAAAGGTGATTATGGAATTTGTTGTTCTGAACCTCTCATCGTCATGGTAAATAGGTTAAAAAAATTATTAAAAAATTAAAAAGAATGAGAATAGTGGGAACAAATTAAAAATAAAAGTTGTATCTATGAAGTATACAGGCTTTAGGGCAATAACAGGAGCTTAATATCTTCTTTTCCCCTGAGAAGGGTTTTACAGTTTTATGCGGACCCTGTGGTAGTTGTCCTCTTGGTTTTTTTTTTTGTTTGTTTTTGTTTTGTTTAGTTTTGTTTTTGGCTGGCTTTCTGGGGGAGGGGCCTGCCACGTGGTTTTTCAAGCAGTCTTGCTGGAGTTGAGTCCTGCCCCCTATCAAGGGGCTGGGCTCTGAGGAAACCGGTTTTTCAGGCTTTTGTTCTCTGGAGGTTATTTTTGTTTGTCTTGTTTTGTTTGTTTTTCTTTTTCCTCCCTTGGTGGCTTTTGGTGATTCTTTGGAGGTTTAGACAAAAGCAAACTGCAGTTTGCTGAGACCTCTGTATCACAGAGAAGCCTGAGTCTGTTCCCCTCTGGGTGCTCCAGAGCACATAAATTCTCCCTCTGCCACCTCCCACCAGCAGAGCACAACCCCAGCCAAGTCTCAGGGGTCACGGGAGCTCCTGCTTCTACCCTGGTGCTACCAAAACCACAAGAAGTACTAACTAGTCCAGAGAGCTGGCTTCCAGTGGCTGCCTCTGCCATGGCTGTCTGGGCAGGTCCAGACCACTGGAGAGGTCCCAACCAGAGACAGCACACTGAGATTTTCATGCTGGCCCAGGCTGGGAGTGTTCAGACTCTCACTGGTCCTAGAGAACACCGACTAACGCCTGCACAGACCTCTCTCAGGGGAGGATGTGGAGTGTGACTCGGACCCCAGTCGCGCAGTGTGAATGCAGAGTGCAAAAAGCTGTGGTTCTAGAGAACACCAGCTGGCATCCACACCAGACTCTCTCATGTGCGCTGCCACCCAGATGCTCTCATGGGCACCAGCAGCTCAGGGACCAAGGCCTGGTTTCTTTGCCGCACTCTCTCTGGCACAGCACCAGCGGTGGCCATCCTGGATCTGTGAGCTTAAGCCACATCCCTAACTGCCTGATTCCACCAATTTCCCCTTAAGATCTTTTGTTCTTTTTGAATGCTTTTAACCAGACTCCAAGTTAATGCTGGTCCCCAATCACAGGGCACTCTTGTATTGGGTATTACTTTCCAATGGGTCGCTTCTGGTGCCTCCCTCCCCCTTTTGTTTATCTTCCAATATCAGTCCGATGTTCCCACTCTGCTTTATTTGTCCACTGGAGTCTTCTGCCCCCATAGAGATCCAGAAGTATATAATTCTAATCTCAAGCTGATTTCATGAGTGATCAGAGTTCTTTGGTAGAAAATCAGCTCACTTTAGGGGACCAGTTGAAACAGTGCCTCCTACTTCTCTGCCATCTTGCCCCCTCTCTCCTTATGATTTTTTTTTTAAGATTTTATTTATTTATTTAAATGAATGAGAGAGACAACAAGTAGGCTGAGAGACAGGCAGAGAGAGAGGGGGAAGCAGGCTCCCCGCTGAGCAGAGAGCCCCATGCAGGGCTCGATCCCAGGACCCTGAGATCATGACCTGAGCCGAAGTCAGAGGCTTAACCCACTGAGCCACCCAGGTGCCCCTATCCTTATGATTTTCTTAATAACATTTTCTTTTCTCGAGTTTTATTGTAAGAATACATAATACAGACAATATGCAAATTAGGTGTTTGTTTATGTTATCAGTAAGGCTTAGTAATTAGGTTCTTGGGGAGTCAAATACATGGATTTACAATGGCATGAGGGATCAGTGCCCCTAATCCCAGCATTGTTTGAGGGCCAACCATAGACATACTCCAGTTCCTTCTGTCTTCAAGTAGGACAATGCTGAGGTTTGCATTCTACTGTCTCCCAGAACTCCCAGTGAGGTTACTCTCCAGGGATACACAGTGGTGTCTCTTAAAAATACTTTCCTTCCCAGCTCACATCCCTCCGCTATTTCTTGGGGACACTCTTAAATAAACTTCTTTCACTCAAATTCTTTTTTTTTTAATTTCATTCTTTTTTTTTTACATTTTTAAATTTCTTTTCAGTGTAACAGTATTTGTTGTTTTTGCACCACACCCAGTGCTCCATGCAATACATGCCCTCTCCAATACCCACCACCTGGTTCCCCCAACCTCCCACCCCCCGCCCCTTCAAAACCCTCAGGTTGTTTTTCAGTGTCACTCAAATTCTTATCTTGGGTTTACTTCTGGGAGAACTCAAACTTCTGAGAACATAACTTATAAATTATACATATGCAAAAATAACATATTCAATTTATTAATTCATCATTGTTTTTATTTGCTAGAGGTTGGGAATATCAAAAGGAAACCAGTTAAATACATTATGACCCACCCACACAAAGGGACACTATGCAGCTGTATAAAAGAATGAAAAAATGCTTTATGTATCGATATAAAACATCTGAGCTATATTAATGAATAAAGCAAGATGCAGAACAGTATAAGTAACATGTTATAATTTGTGTAAAAAGCTTGTATTTGTGTATGTGTTTGCATATGCCTAGAATCTTTGTGAAGGAGACCCCAAAATACACACAACCTTGACAGCCCCTTAGGAGGGACCTGAATGGCTGTGGGGACCAGAATGAAGGGACTTCACCACAAATGCTTGCACATCTTTTGATTTTTGTAACTGATGGGTTTATCTATCCAAAAAATAAAAATAACATTAAAATAGTAAGTAAATGCATAGATAAAGGGAGGTGCACCACTGCTCCTTGGACCTTATATAGCTCAAGTGTGGAATGGGTGGACAGGCTCCTGGTGGCTGACCAGATCCTGACTCCACCATGATTCTTCCAGTGTGGTCTCCACCCAACTGCACAGGCTCCCGCAGGTCTATGTCCTTGCCCATGAAAGGAGGTCTCTCTTCCTTTAGCAGGATCAGAATCTGTTGCATTTCCCTTTATGTTCACCCACAGAAGCTGCCATCACTTCTGTCAGGAGGAAGGTCCAATGGCACCTTCACCCACACATAAGGAATTTGAAGCAATTCCCTTCTCCCTGAGAGGTTGTATTGAAAGCATTCATCCCCTTCCAAGAGACATATGAGTCATGCATACAACTCAGGCATATGCTTGTACATACACTTGAACAAACATATACACACATGAATGGAAGTCCAAGCTGTTCTTTCCTGAATGAGTTGCTACCACCCCACTCCCCTAATACATGAATCTGTCCAACAGCCTGAGGACCTGCACTGTAGGTCTAACCAATGTCTTACTTCCTGCAGGAGAGGCCACTCGAGGGGGAAGGAGCTGCTACTGGGGCTGGGCAGCACTGGGACCAGCTTCACTCATCATGTCCTTGTACTGCCGTTTGAAGAAGCCGAGCTGCAGAGGCAGAGACAAAGGAGTAAGGACCAGCAAAGCCAGGGAAGTGGTGAAGGCCATGCAAACCAGGAGGGGAGACAGAGAGATCAGGAGGCACAAAGAAAAATGTGGCAGACTCTAAAGAGACCTGTGGGGAATGGGGCAGGGAAAGAGAGGCATTAATGTTAGAGACAGGAAAGATAAAAAAGAAATAAAATACAGAAGGAGAAAGGAAAATTAATACCTATATAGTGGTAATTCTATACCAGGGACCATTCTAAGTGTACTACATATATTGGGTTAATATCCAATTACCTTCACAAAATGGTATTGACACTCTCATTTTATAGCTGAAGAAACAGACTCTGACTTGCAGGGAGTCAAAGCCAGTAATGAGCTGCTGAGTAAGAAGCAGTGAGGGAATGGGGAGCAGACAGGAAAAGGGGATACCTTGTACAGTCCAGCAGTGATGAGGGCCAGAAGCACGAACCCCCCCACTGAACTGCCCACTATAAGTGGTAAAGGGTTGTGCACTTCAGTTGGCTCCACTTTGGTTTCTGTCTGTGGCAGAGGGAGAGAGGGGTGATGATGAACTTCAGATTTCTAGGGGTTCCCCCGTCAGAACTTGTGCACTCCCTGAACCCAATGACTAGCCCCTCCCTGTAGCCTCACTCCTCCTTTTTTTAAAAAAGACTTTATTTCTTTATTTGACAGAGAGAGATATATATCACAAGTAAACAGTGCAGCAGGCAGAGGGTGAGGGAGAAGGAAGCAGGTTCCCTGCCAAGCAGAGAGCCCAATGTGGGGCTCTATCCCAGGACCCTGAGATCATGACCTGAGCTGAAGGCAGAGGCTTTAACCCACTGAACCACCCAGGTGCCCCCTCACTCCTCCTCCTTCCCCTCCTCCTCCTTCTCCTCCTCCTCCCTTGTCTCACTCTATCGCTTTACCTAGAGATTGCCACAAGCCCAGCCTCCCCTCCTCCCTCCAATAGTCCCTCTGGGTCAGAGAAAAATACCTGGGCCCTCAGAAATGCCTCCTGTCCTGGAAGCATGGCAAACTTCGAATCATTAAACAAGACCTCTGCTGTGCTTACAACCTGAAGATAGTTTGTTGAAGTCTATGGGAGAGAGAGGATGGGAGTTCGACCTGTGGGCCCCCTGAAGTATCATGTCTGTGCCCAGCTGAGCCTTGGCCCTCACATACCTTGATATACCAGTCAAATGAGAGGTTGCCTTGGAGGGTGATATTGACTTTTTCCTGAATGCCAAAGGTCAGGATGTCACACTGGATTCTCTGGCAGACAGCGATGGAACAGTTCTGGTGAGGGAGCAGAGGGCAGGAATGACTAAGCTGGATACAGAAAATATCCATGCACCCAGTCCACACTGTTGGCAGATCGTACTCAGCACTAATAAAGGAACAGTGCTGAGTCTGCACGTGTCCCTAAAGCTGGGTTAGGTTTATTCTTACCACAACTGGAGTCTTCTTAAGCTCCACCAGGAAATCAGAGAGACGGGGTTCCCACTCCTTGCTGTGGCAAGTGCTGGAAAGGTTCTAAGGAAAGAGAGACACTGTGAGAAGGGCAGAAAATGAGGGCTTATGGGTCCACCATCAAGGAGACTGAAATGGCCAAGGTCCAGGAGAGGGTCAAAATGGCTCCAAAATCCAACAACAACAACAACAACAACAACAACAAAAAACAAAAAAAAAAAAAAAAAACACACACAGAGATTTTAGGAAAGACCAGGGCCATGGTGGTAGGAGTTGGGTCACTCCTCAAGCCCGGCTAGACTTACCTTGGAGAAGGTGACTTGGGGGTTGTCCCACACAGTGACCTGGTTCAGTGTGGTAGGCACCCAGAAGACCACGCTGATGGGGAGGCTCCTTTGCCCCAAATTGTTGAACTGCACAGTGGGAGGAGGGCGGTGGATATCAGCGCTCAGTCCTTTCTGCTCCCACCAGCAACCAGAGTCAGCCTCCCCACTCATGACAGCCCAGTACACCTAATAAGGCCTCATAATCCCAAGCAGCCTGCCTCTTAATGCTTTCTGGGAGTCAGAAGAGGGTAGGGGTTAAACACACATTTGAAAGCCACTACTAAGTAGTGGCTCTTCCACTACTAGTGGAGAGACCATGGCTATGTTCTGTTAACCTCTCTGAGCCTCATTTGTTCCATCTACAAACTGGAGATAATGACAGTCCCTCCTTCAAAGAATCATTGTAATGATAAAATGAGTTAAGTGTGTGTGTGTGTGTGCGTGCGCACGCGTGCGTGCGCACATGCACACACAGTCCTGGGTGTGTACAGAATGAAAGTGAGCCTGCAACAGAGCCCAGCACATAGTAAGCATCTGATGCATGTCTCCCATCATTATTTCCCATTATCACATTCCCATCACATTGATTTCCCTCCCTGGCCTCTTTCTCAGCTACCCACCTCATACTTATGCTCTATAATGTGGCTGGTCTTCTCTGCAGCTATGAAGTTGAGATATTTAGTGGAGACCTCATGGCTGATGGGAGAAAGAAGAAAGTAAAGGAGGTATCAGGACTTCAAATGTGTCCTGAGAGGACGTCTTGGGCTAAGTGTCTTAGGGAATAAACAGACACAAGGGTAATTCTGCCCTGAGAGGGTGCCAGTAGGATGGTGTATAGGGGACCATATGTGTCAGACACACAGAATGTGCTAGTTTGGGCCATGCACACACATGCACACACACATGCACAAATACACACCCATGCACACATATGCTAGACACACACACACCCAAACACACACAAATACACAATGGGCCATGTTTGGCCCAGTGGTAAAGGCAGGGCTAAAGCCCTAGAAGCCAGCACCTGGTGACTACCACGAAGACAGTGTATTTCACAGGCAGCTCCAGCTGGAATTCAGTTTTGTTGGTCCTAGTCGTGTTGTTCTCACTGAAGGGAAACAGAGAGCTTTCTTGTATATCTTTTCCACTAAATTATAATCTCTGTAAGGGCAGGAACCATGGATGTCTTATCCATGCTGTCACACCAGCAGCACTGAGTACAATGCCTGGTACATGGTGGATGCTCAGTTGGTATTTACTGAATGAATGAATGAATGAATGAATAAGCTGAAGGGAGAACCAGTGGGGAGAGGGCTGTGGTCCACACTGGGGAGGGGTTTGGGACCTCAAAGTGGGGAAGCTGAGCACAGCACACCTGGTCACATTGGCCTTGAGGAGTAGTCTGTTTCCAAAGGAAGCATCAGATTCCACACCAAATGTGATAGTAAAAGTGACCTGGAGTTAGAGAAAAGAGAGACAGTGAAAAGAATAGAAGAAACAACCCAAATGTCTATCAACTAAAGAATGAATAAATAAAATGTGGTGCATCACCCAGGAATTGCACTACTGGGTATTTACCCTAAAGATACAAATGTAGTGATCCGAAGGGACACGTGCACCCGAATGTTTATACCAGCAATGTACACAATAGCCAAACAATGGAAAGAACCTAGATGTCTATCAACAGATGAATGGATAAAAAAGATATGGATATATATATATTGATATATATATCTCCATATTTATCCACTCATATATATCTCCATATATATATATCTAGATATATATATATTCCAGAAAGATTTCATTTTTTGATGGCTGCATAGTATTCATATATATGTATCTATACATATATGAATATGTATATTTACATATATAAATATAGCATTCATATATGTATCTGTATATGTATACATACATATGTATATACATGTGTATACATATTTTATTTCTTTTCAGTGTTCCAGAGAGATTTCATTTTTTGATGGCTGCATAGTATTCATATATGTATCTGTATATGTATATATACACATGTATATACAGGTATATACATATATACACATGTATACATATATACATGTATATTTTTAAAATTTTAAAAACTAAAGAAAAAAAAGAAAAACAAATCACTTGGGGAAAAAATGAAATCTTGCCATTTTCAATGACATGGATGGAACTAGAGGGCATTATGCTAAGCAAAATAAGTCAATCAGAGAAAGACAATCATCATATGATCTCTCTGATATGAGGAATTTGAAAGGCAGGGGTGAGGGTTCGTTGGGGGAAGGTAGGGAAAAGTGAAACAAGATGGGACCAGGAAGGGAGAAAACCTCAAAGATTCTTAATCTCAGGAAACAAACTGAGGGCTGCTGGCAGCAGGGAGGGATAGGGTAGCTGGGTGATGGACACTGGGGAGGGTATGTGCTATGGTGACTGCTGTGAATTGTGTAAGACTGCTGATTCACAGACCTGTACCCCTGAAACAAATAATACATTACATGTTAATTTTAAAAATGTGGTGCATCCATCCATATACACTATGGAGTATTATACCTCCATCAGAAAGGATGAATACCCAACTTTTGTAGCAACATGGACGGGACTGGAAGAGATTATGCTGAGTGAAATAAGTCAAGCAGACAGAGTCAATTATCATATAGTTTCACTTATTTGTGGAGCATAACAAATAACATGGAGGACATGGGGAGATGGAGAGGAGAAGGGAGTTGAGGGAAATTGGAAGGGGAGGTGAACCATGAGAGACTATGGACTCTGAAAAACAACCTGAGGGTTTTGAAGGGGCGGGGGGTGGGAGGTTGGGGGAGCCAGTTGGTGGGTATTATGGAGGGCACGGATTGCATGGAGCACTAGGTGTGGTACATAAACAATGAATTCTGTTACGCTGAAAAGAAAATTTTAAAAATGTGGTGCATCCATATATCAGACTGCTATCCAGCAGTAAAAAGAAATGAAGTATTGATACATGCTGCAAACATGGATGATCCTTGAAAACATGGCCACATACTGTATAAACCCATTTACACAAAATGTCCAGAATAGGTGAATCTAGACACAGAAAACAAATTACTGGCTGCCTAGAACTTGGAGAAATGACAGGACTGGAGCTGATGGCTAAGGAGAGCAGGGTATTTTCTTGAGGTAAAAAAAATTCTAAAATTGATCATGACGATGAATGTATTAACTCTGTGAACACACTAAAAGCCATTGAACTGTGTGCTTGAAATGGGTGAATTCAATTATATCTCAATAAAACTATCTTTCAAAAAAAAAGAGTCAAAAAGAGAGAGAGAAGAATTCAGGAGAAAACAAAAGAGAAAAAGAGAGGAGGACAGTAGCCTGACCTCTGAGGAGTTTGGGAAGATGGGGTGGTTTATGCTGCAGCTGCTGTTCTTCAAGCCCTCAGGCCCATTGGTGGAGTCATCAGACTCACAAATCAGGCGCCAACGTCGCCATGAGAGCTGCTTCTGGAAGGCAAAGGAGACAGAGGTAGTGATGTCAAGCACCCACTGTAGAGACAGGGAAAATAAAGTCAAACAGAGCCTGAGAAGGATTTGGTTACCTGGGCCACTGACACCCTCCGATAGGACAAGCCAGGCGGGTAGAAGATGGTGACCTGAGTTCTGTAGGAGTCCTCACCCTGGTTTCTCACAGTCAGTGTCACGTTGAAGTCTCGGAGACCACCCACCACCAGGGTGTCCAGGCTGTGGGAATAATAAGCCAGGCCATGAGATGCTGAGGGCTTCCATGTGGCAAGTCTGCCCTGGTGGAGGCACAGATGCTTAGAGAGAGAAGACAGTGGATGGGGCAGCCACACAAACAACTCTGAAGCAGCTGCTCTGTGCCAGGCTCCCTTACAGGCCTGGAGAAGAACAAAGCACCAGGTTGTGGTGCAGATTTGCAGGTAGCAGTGAGGAAAAGAAACTCACCCCATAAAAGTGAAGGTGATGCTGAGGTCATCATGGCAGATGCCGTCACTGCCACAATTCTGCTCAAAGGGAAACTACCAAAAAAAAAAGAGAGAGAGAAAGAGAATATGATGAAAGGAAAGAATGAAATGATGTGAAATGAAACAATAAAACAAATTATTAAAATAAAATTACGTGAAATGAAATAAAATGTGCTTCAGTGATCTTGGCCTCTGGTCCCTTCCGTGTCCCTGCAGGACCACAAGTTGAGGACTCACCAAAGCTGTGAAGTGTCTCTGAGCATCCACAGCCAGCAATGGCTGGAGGTTCTTGAATGAGGGCAAAGGCTTCCCCACCAGAGAGAAGTTGAAGTGCAGGATGATGGGGGTCACTGAGTCCTGTACACAATACTGAGAGATAACAGGGGTTTAAGGGTCTGCCTTCCTCAGCTTCCCAAGCCCACCCCATGCTTGAAAGACCCAGAAGTGTGGCCATCTCTTGCTCACCACTAACAGTAGCTTTAGGGTTTCACATTCTTGATTCAGCATCAAGATCCTTGTCTGTCTGCGTGTGCTGTTCTTTGTCTCATCAAAGACAACTCGGGGATGTGGGAGACTTGGGTCCAGAGCCAGGTCGTATGTAACGATGCTCTGGATCTCTCCTGAGGGGGATAGGGCAGCATGGTGGTGAGGAGGCCAGCTTTGGAGTCAAACAAGCATGAGTTTGAGGTTCAGATCTATTACTCTCCAACCATATAACTTTTGGCATGTTATATGACCTCTTTGAATCTCCATTCCTTATTTTTAATTTGAGAATAATAATTGTACCTTCTTCATGGTGAAAATTAAATGAAATAGTGTCCATAAAGCATTTAGCACAATGCCTGCTACATAGCAAGTGCTCAATAAATGGCAGTTATTCTGTTACATACTAAAATATTAAGTATATTCTCCTGGAAACTCTCAACTTTTTTCTTTTCTTTGGTTTTCAGAAGTTTGTGCTTTGATATGGTACAATATATAATGTCTTATACATTGGAATAATATACTATGGTATGGTTTCCTTTATATTTATCCTTCTTTGATTTGGCAGAGAATCTTGATGTCTTTCATCAGTTTTAGAAAACGTGTTACCACTATTTTGTTGCTTCTTTCTTATTCTCTCTCTTTCTTCTATTTGGAATTCCAATTATGTATTTATTAAATTTTTCACTGTGTTCCATATGTCTTGTGATTTTTCTCTGTATTTTTCATCCTTTTTTCTCTCCATGTGTTAATTGAAATATTTTCAATTGATTTATTTTCCAGTTCACCAATTCTCTGTTCTGCTTCTAATCTATTAAATGTATTTATTGAGCTCTTAATTTCAGTCTCTCTATTTTTCAGTGCTAGATTTCCATTTTAATCTATTTTATGAATTCCAGGTCTTTTCTAAACTTCACCACTTCCTCTTTTTTCTTAAAGATATTCACTGTAGTTATTTTTAAATTCCTAATAACTCTAATTCCTGAATCACCTATCAGTCTATTTCTATTATCTACTGTTTCTCTTCGTTGCTGGTCTGAATGGACATTGTTCCAATAGAAAGACCAAGTGGCTTACCAATATCTCTCTCACATTTCTGTCTCCCCAGCACCGGAGAGCTCAACTTCTACTCAACACTTTAGCTGCTATCTTCTACTGAGTTTCTTAGAGTACTGACCTAGACATAAATGGCTTAAGAAGTCAGCCAATGACTTGAGAGGAATTTATACTGCACCTTCTATGCAATTCTCTACTCTCCAACATTTTGCTCTCAGTGTCTTGCCATGCTGGCTGCCCCAAACTGACTGCTATCTCCTCAGCCCAGTAAGATTACTGCTAGAAACCTAATTTTATTTCCTTCCCATTTCTCCCTAGTACCACTGTTACTATTCCTCCATACCAAGCACAATGCTACTTTTTCAGAATAGAGATAAGGAGAAAGTCAAGTTAGTTGTGAAAAAATGCATGTTTGAATGTTTTGTGAATTTGTATTTAGCTTCATCAACCCAAACTCCCATTTAAATGAGTCATCTCTTGAGTTTTAAAAAAAAATCCTGGTTAGTTCACAGGTGTGGGGCCATTGCTTCTCTGGAGAACTGAGAGAGTAAGGGAGTACCACATACTCACTTTTTGGTGGGGTTTGCTGGGGCTCTCCACCCAGCCAGAGAAGTGCCTATTCACTCCAGCCAAGCTTATAAAAGCCTGCCAAAACCTGTCTGGAAGTTTGCTCTAAACTGACAGAAGGCTGGGAAGACTGGAGTGGTCACCCATCAATGTCTCTAGTCATTTAACCCTTTCAGATTTACCTACCCAGCCTCACCTACTCTTAGTCGGTCTCGTGTGTTCTTGCGAACATGGAGGCAAACTCTGACCTCTCCAGCAGTCTGGCCTTTCTCCACCTTTTCATGACACTCAAACACATTTCTTGCCACTTCCTTGGGTGTGAACTCCATGGTCACCTCAAGACGCAGCACAGGCTGGGATCTGTAGGGACACCAGAGGGCCATCAGGGGCCTTCAGGCAATAAAGTCATTTCTTAAAGAGAAGATATTTGGTGTGCTCTAAAAGAAGTTCTCACCTGAGCAGCATCACATGGCCTTGGGCCCCTATAGCCAGGTCTACCAGTCCATCCATTGTGAGGTCCTGGCCCCCACTTAGTGACTGACCAAAATACTGGAGCCTGGGGGAGACCTGGGAGCCTTGAATCCTCTGAGGGTAGAAAGGGGGAGAGAAAGGGAGTGGGAAAGAATAGGAAAGTGTGTAATTCAATTGCCCAGAGTGACCCCAGGACATATTGTCTGGGCTCCACTTCGGTTGCATCTTCTACAGCTTCTCAAGGAAATTAAGGCATTATTCAGCTTTAGACCACAGCCTTGAGATGACACCCAAAATTTCTCTCAATTACCCAGGTTTTCCAAGAAAAACAAAGTTTTACAGGAAAGACGTGACACAGCATGCTATTTGACTAAGCTGAATCTTTTCACATGGTCAGAATAATGCAAACACTGAATATTGATCTTACCAAAATTCTCATCTAAGGAGTGGAGCAAGAAGGCAAAAGGTCAGAGGTGGCAAGCTTTCTGAAAGCAAGCTCAGTCCTCATCTCCCATAATGGGAAGTCAATGTTAAAAAAATAATGAAGAAGCAAAAAAATCATCATGTCATTGAGAATTATGGAGAATCACTGAAAGAGCTGCAAGAAGTTTCAAGAGAAGAGAAAATAAAGAGAAAGTCACTGTGTGAGTGTGGTGATTGTTATTTTTCATAATGATACTTTAAGAATAATTTTAACTCTTTTAATCTATGTGCAAGAATAACACTGTAACATTAAAGAGGGCATGTGATGTGATGAGCACTGGGTGTAATGTGCAACTGATGAATTATTGAACACTAAATCTGAAACTAATGATGTACTATATGTTGACTAAATTTAAATTTTTAAAAAAACACTCTACGATGGAGGCATAATACTCCATAGTGTATATGGACCACATCTTCCTTATCCATTCATCTGTTGAAGGACATCTTGGTTCTTTCCACAGTTTGGCAACCGTGGCCATTGCTGCTATAAACATTGGGGTACAGATGGCCCTTCTTTTCACTACATCTGTATCTTTGGGGCAATTGCAGGGTCATAGGGAAGCTCTATTTTTAATTTCTTGAGGAATCTCCACACTGTTCTCCAAAGAGGCTGCACCAACTTGCATTCCCACCAACAGTGTAAGAGGGTTCCCCTTTCTCCACATCCCCTCCAATACATGTTGTTTCCTGTCTTGCTAATTTTGGCCATTCTAACTGGTGTAAGGTGATATCTCAATGTGGTTTTAATTTGAATCTCTCTGATGGCTAGTGATGATGAACCTCCATCAGAAAGGATGAATACCCAACTTTTGTAGCAAATTGGACGGGACTGGAAGAGATTATGCTGAGTGAAATAAGTCAAGCAGAGAGAGTCAATTATCATATGGTTTCACTTATTTGTGGAGCATAACAAATAGCATGGAGGACATGGGGAGTTAGGAGAAGGGAGTTGGGGGAAATTGGAAGGGGAGGTGAACAATGAGAGACTATGGACTCTGAAAAACAATCTGAAGGGTTTGAAGAGGTGGGGGGGTGGGAGGTTGGAGGAACCAGGTGGTGGGTATTAGAGAGGGCACGGATTGCATGGAGCACTGGGTGTGGTACAAAAACAATGAATACTGTTATGTTGAAAATAAATTTTAAAAATGATGATTAAAAAAACACTCTATGAATAACAGCCAAATAAATTTAAAGGAAATTTTAAAAGTGATTTTTGTCATGCATTTAATACCACTGAATTGCACACCTGAAAAATGGTTAAGATGGTAAATTTTATGTCATGTATATTTTGCCTCAGTTTTTTTTTAAAGATTTTATTTATTTATTTGACAGAGAGAGAGATCACAAGTAGGCAGAGAGGCAGGCAGAGAGAGATAGGAGGACACAGACTCCCTGCTGAGCAGAGAGCCCGACGTGGGGCTCGATCCCAGGACTCTGAGATCATGACCCGAACCGAAGGCAGCGGCTCAATCCACTAAGCCACCCAGGCGCCCCTTACCTCAGTTTTTTAAAAAGTGACTTTGTCAACTAAAACGAAGGATGAGGAAGCATGAGTTACTGGGAATGTGCTAAATCTTAATCTAGATGGTGCTTACTCAGCTTCACTGATATATAAAAATTCATCACTTAAGATTTGTGTGTTTACTGAATGTACATTATGCCTCGAAGTTTTTTGAGAAAAACTTATGGTATTCTGTTGGGAGGAAGTTTTGTTTTGTAATTAAGTATAATGTAAAATTAAGTAGTTGGGAGAGCCACAGCATGTTTACTTATCCAAACACTGACCACCCTCATCCCTAACTGTAGAGAAAAAGCAAGACAAAACACAAACAGTGGAACAGGATAGGATAAGTAGAACAGCAGAAAAGGACAGAATGATCTTTTTTGAAGATAAAGTAAAACTAGAGCCTTCACACCCCATATACACAGAGAAGCAACAGGTGTGAGTGAAAAAAGGCCTAATTATAAGAGTCACACAATGGTGGAAAGAGGCTCCATGATGCAGAGAGAAGTAAGGCAGTGGTTCTTAGCCCTGGCAGCAACAAACATCTTTAAAATACTAGAGTGGGTGTAGCATGTAAGTGATGAATCATTGAATTCTATTCCTGAGACCAATATTGCACTGTATGTTAACTAACTAGAATTTAAGTAAAATTTTAAAGACACAATTAATAAAATAATAAAGATATAAAACTTTTAATAAATAAATAAATAAATTTAATAAATAAGTAAAATGCTGGAGCCTACATGGTATACTATTCTATTTATATGAAGTTCTAGAATGAGTAAAACTAATCTATGGTGGAAAATAATCAGAACAGTGGTTTCCTTTCGAATAGAGCAGTGTCAGAAATTGACTGAATAGTGGCAGGAGAGAACTTCCTGGAGTGGTAATTATGTTCTATATCTTGATAGGAATGTGGGTTACACAGATGTATGCATTTGTCAAAATCATTGAATGGCAAAGGATTTGTGCATCTCCTGTCTATAAATGTTATCTTAAAAATAACAGTCAGTAAATATTGAATTCTAATTAGTGATATTCTAACTAGATATATTTAACTAGAATATCCAACTAGATATTCTAACTAGTGAATTCTAGTTAACTACTTAAGTAGTTAAGTGCATTGTAACTTACTTGGAAATGCATTAAAAAATAGGATAGACTCATGGATGGATAGAAATAGAGTGAATCAAGGAATGGATGTGTGATAACATAAGTGGTCAATGTTAACTAGATTCTAGGTTGTAAATATATGGGTGTTCATTGTACAACTCCTTCAACTTTGCTGTAAATTTGAAAATTTTCCAAATAAGATGCTGGAAATCTCTATTGATACCTGGGGCACCAACTCCAGACTAATTAAATTAGAACCCATACTAGCAGGGCCTAAGCATCTGTGTTTTTTTTTTTTTAAATCCTTCAGGTAATTTCATTGTGTGGATAGGATTGAACCTCTGGCATGAGAGATTTGGCAGGAGCTATGGAGGGACTGAAAGGAAAAACACTTAAGAAAAATGTGAAGCTGGAAAAAAGCCAGAGACCCAAGGGTGGAAGAGCAGTGGGTGTGATGGCAGTGAGGGGAAGGAACCAGACTGTGGGAGTCCCTCTAAATAGTGGACTCCATTTAGCAGGTAACAGGGAGGTATTTCAGAGAGGAAACCAGTTGTGGCAACCAAAATTTCAAGTGACCAACTACCAAGATGGGCTACATAACTTGCAGGATCCAGTACCCAAAAAAAAAATAAAATGAAAGTGCAGAACACCTTGTTCAAAAATTAATAATTTCAAGAAAGCAAGAGCAGAGAATTAAACTAAGAGCAAGATCCTTCTTACTTTCAGTACTAAAACTAGGGCAAATTTGAGCAAACCAGGACTATTAGTCTCCCTACCAAGACTGACTGAGATTCAGAAGAAAACAATGCCTACATCCCAACACTTCCAGCTGGTCAGGTACAACCTCTGAGTTTTAATCTCCTCATCTAATCTATAAAGTGGGAGTGGTGATGTCCCATGCGCCTCCTATAGTTGTGGCAAGAATTTCCATAAAATGTGTTATTACTTTTAAAGTTTCTGAATAGTAGTATTGGGAGAATTGATCTGGCAGCCATGGGGATGCTGAATGAGAAAGGGACAGATCAACAAAGAGGCTACTGACATAATGGGGACAGTGACCCGACCTTACCTGGCTGTGGGACAGGCTGATGCCCAGTCCTGAGGTTCCATGAAATAGGTAGACAGCACCTTCGTTCTCCTGCTCTCCTGGGGCCCCGATGGCCACGTCTGTCAGCTTGTCCCCATTCACATCCCCCAGCACTGTCATGGCTGCCCCAAAGCGGCCCCAGGGATGGCCCAGCTCCCCATGGAGAATAGCCCCACACTGCCACTTAGCCCTCTGTTGAATAAAAAGAATGTCAAGTCCCAACCCAGGCAATTCCTCAACTCCACACCCAGGCCACACCCAGCCCAGGCTCCAGGAGCCACTTACCCCCCGAGGCAAAGGGCACACAGACACCTGGCCTCCCCTTGTCTGCTCATAGTAATGGGGGGCCCCGATGAGGACCAGGTCCGAGTTGCCATCTTTGTCAATATCCATAGAGCAGAGGGAGGACCCAAAGTAGGAGCCAATCTGAAAGAAATGAGCCCAGGATCACATCTCTTGCCACCAAAATCAATGTGTGAGTGTTTTCTCCCTGTGAGGAAAAAATCATACCAGCTGGGAAAAGGACTTGGAAGCAGATGTTATTTTCTTTATGATTCAAATTCTCATTTGAATGTACTGCCAGCTAGAGGAAAATATTAGAGAGTTGATGGGAAGAGGCTGAGTATTTACCAACAGTGGTGTTCCAGGGAGATGATTAGTACAGCAAAGAAGAAGTTGAATTGGAAACTACACAGAAAAGCCTAGGAGAGAATACAGAATATCTTCAATGTTGACACTCTGGCTAGTAAGGAATCAACTGGCTTAAGTTAAAAATAACTTGCTACAGGAATTTTTTTTTGCATGGTATTGAGCAGTATTGTCTATCTTTTAAAATAATTTTTAAAGTATGTTTCCAAAAAACAAAAATATGTTCATTCTGTAGAATTCACCCACAAGACTCATCTATTTAGTCATTCATTCATTCATTCATTTACAAAGTTTTGTTCTTTGCTGAGCATGAGACTGGGTAGTGGAAACACAGTGCTTTCCAGGGCTCTCCATGGAGCAGGAGACAAACAGGGAGATGTATTTAGCAGTTTCAAAGTGGGGCAAGTTCCAGGAAGGAAAAGTGTAGGAGATGTCAAGACATGAGTCAATACAATCTGATTTCTGCACCACACACCATTGATGAAGGCCTCACTCATTGCCCAATAAAGGCATTTAAGCTTTAACCTAAAGTCAGTAGGATTTTTTGTCTTTAGGTCAAGTTGATTAGGGTATAATTTACATACAATAAAATTCAGCCTCTTTAGTACAGTTTTGTAAGTTTTGACAAATGCATGAAGTAATGTAACCACCACCAATGATCAAGATATAAGTTTCATCACTCCCAAAATATTCCATGTTCTAATGTAATCAACCTCTTCCCTCCAACACTAACCCCTGGCAACCACTGATCTGTTTTCTGTCCCTAAAGTTTTTCCTTTTTCAAAATGTTGTATGAATGGAATTATATAGTATGTAGCCTTTCATGTCTGGCTTCTTTCACCCAGAGTAATGCATTTAAGATTCAGTCAGGTTGTTACATATATAAGTAGTCCATTCCTTTTTATTTCCAATATTTCTGATATTCCGTTATATGGATGTACCACAGTTTGTTTATTCATTCCCCAGTTGAGTGACACTTGGACTGTTTCTCGTTTTTAGCAATTATGAATAGAGCCACTGGAAACATTCACATACAGGTTTTCATGTGAACATCTGTTATTGTTTTTCCTAAGTAAATACCTCAAAGTGAGATTGCCGGTATGGTAACAGCATATTAAACTTTGTAAGACATTGACAAATTGTTCCCAAAGTAGGCATGGCATTTTTCATTCAGACAGAAATGTATGAGGATTTTAGTTGTTGCACATCCTCGCCAGGACTTGATATTGACAGTTTACTACCTTCTGTTAATCATTCTAATAGCTATGTGATAGTATCTAATAGTCATTCTAATTTGCCTTTTTGTAATGATTAATGACATGGAAGATGTTTTCATGTGCTTACTTGCCATCTCTGTATCTTCTTTGGTGAAGTGTCTGTTAAAATATTAGCTTACTGGGATGCCTGGGTGGCTCAGTCAGTTAAGCGTCTGCCTTCGGCTCAGGTCATGATCCCAGAGTCCTGGGATCAAGTTCCACATCAGGTTCCTTGCTCAGTGGGGATCCTGCTTCTCCCCTCTTCCTTTTCTGCTTCCCCTGCTTGTGCTCTCTCTTACTCTCTGACAAATAAAATCTTTTAAAAAATATTTAGCTTGTGCTCACTTTGGCAACATATATACTAAAAAAAAAATATTTAGCTTACTTCTTAATTGGATTGTTTAATTTTTTAGTGTTGAGTTTTTGAGAATCTTTTATATATTCTGGATATAAGTCTTTTGTCAGCTACATAATTTAAAAAAGAAGGAAAATTGGCAAATATTTTCTCCCAATCTGTAGCTTGTCTGTTCATTCTCTTAAGTGTATCTTTCTTTTTCTTTAATTATGTTATGTTAGTCACCATAAAATACATAACTTTTTGATGCAGTGTTCCAAGATTCATTGTTTATGTACAACACCCAGTGCTCCATGCAATACATGCCCTCCTTAACACCCACCACCAGGTTAACCTATCCTCCTCCTCTAAAATGTTGTTTGTTTCTCAGAGTCCACAGTCTCTCAAGCCTTGTCTCCCCCTCTGATTTCCCCCAATTCACTTTTCCTTTCCTTCTCCTAATATCCTCCATGTTATTCCTTATGCTCCACAAGTGAAACCATATGATAATTGACTATCTCTGCTTGACTGATTTCACTCAACATAATCTCCAGCCCCATCCATGTTGATACAAAAGTTGGGTGTTCATCCTTTCTGATGGAGGTGTAATATCCCATTGTATATATGGACCATATCTTCTTTATCCTTTCATCTGTTGAAGGGCATCTTCACTTTTCCCACAGTTTGGCAATTGTGGCCATTGCTACTATGAACATTGGGGTATAGATGACCCTTCTTTTCTCAACATCTGTCTCTTTGACGTAAATACCCAGTAGTGCAATTGCAGGGTCATAGGGTAGCTCTATTTTGAATTTCTTAAGGAATCTCCACACTGTTTTCCGAAGTGGCTGCACCTACTAGCATTCCCACCAACAGTGTAAGAGGGTTCCCCTTTCTCCACATCCTCTCCAACATTTGTTGTTTCCTTCATTGTTTATCTTTGCCATTCTAACTGGTGTCAGGTGGTATCTCAATGTGGTTTTGATTTGAGTTTCCCTGATGGCTAATGATCAGCATTTTTTCATATGTCTCCTAGCCATGTGTATGTCTTCACTGGACAGCTATGTATAGAAGAATGAAACTCGACCATTCTCTTACACCATAAACAAAGTAACTCAAAATGGATGAAAGACTTCAACGTGAGACAGGAGTCCATCAAAATCCTAGAGGAGAACATAGGCAGTAACCTCTTCGACATCAGCCACAGCAACTTCAAGACATGTCTCCAAAAGGGGAATCCTCTTACACTGTTGGTGGGAATGCAAGTTGGTATAACCACTTTGGAAAACAGTGTGGAGATTCCTCAAAAAAATTAAAAATAGAGCTTCCCTATGGCCCTGCAATTGCACTACTGGCTATTTACCACAAAGATACAGATGTAGTGAGAAGAAGGGCCATCTGCACCACAGTGTTCATAGCATCAATGGCCACAATTGCCAAACTGTGGAAAGAGTGAAGATGCCCTTCAACAGATGAAAAGATAAAGAAGATATGGTCCATATATACAATGGAATATTACGGAGCCATCAGAAAGGATGAATACCCACCCAACTTTTGTATCAACATGGATGGAACTGGAGATTATTCTGAGTGAAATCAGTCAAGCAGAGACAGTCAATTATCCTATGGTTTCACTTGCAGAGCATAAGGAATAACATGGAGAACATTAGGAAAAGGAAAGGAAAAGTAAATTGGGGGAAATCAGAGGGGGAGACAAAGCATGAGAGACTGTGGACTCTGAAAAACAAACTGAGGGTTTTGGGAGGGAGAGAGTGGAGGATGGGTGAGCCTGGTGGTGGATATTAAGGAGAACACATATTGCATGGAGCAATGGGTGTGGTGCATAAACAATGAATCTTTGTTCACACTGAACACTGAAAAATTAAAATAAAATTTAAAAAAATTTAAAAAGAGTCATTTGTAGTTTGTCTCCCTCTGGTTTCATCTTATTTTATTTTATATTCTTTTTCTTTTCTGTTCTCTTCTTTTTCAAAGTGAATATTCTTGTTTTATTTCCAATTTTAGGGAGGAAAAGTTCTATTTTTTAGTGTGATGTTAGCTGGACTTTTTTTAGGTTTCATTTATTTATTAATTAGAGAGAGAGAGAGAGTATGTGTGTGTGTGTGTGTGTGTGTGTGTGTGAGCATGAGTAGGTGGAGGGAGGAGGCAGAGGGAGAGGGAGAACCAGACTCCCTGCTTAGCAGGGAGCCTAAAGTAGGGATCAATCCCAGGACTCTGAGATCATAACCTGAGCTGAAGGCAGATGCTTAACAAACTGAGCCACTGAGGTTCCCTTGGACTTTTTTTAATAAGAGCTCTTTTTCAGGTTAAGTAAGTTCTTTTAGTTCCAAGTTTGCTGAGAGCTAAACATCACAAACGTTGTATTTTTTCAAATCCTTTATCTGCATCTATTAAGATTATTGTGTTTTTTCTTCTCTAGTCTGTTATGGTGAGTTCCATTGACAGCTCTTTTTCTCAGAATAGTCTTTTTTAATTTAGATAAAGTTTACATAACATAAAATTCACCATTTCAAAGTATAAAGTTCAGTTGTTTTTAGTATATAAACAATGTTTATATTGTTATATTGTTATGTAACTATCTCCACTAATTCCAAAACATTTTCATCACCCCAGAAAGAAACTCTGTATCTATTAGAAGTAAATCCAATTCCTTCTTTCCTCTATTTCCTGGCAACTATTAATCTACTCTCCAGTTCTATGGATTTGTCTAATCTGGACATTTCAGGCAGATAAAATCATACAATATGTGGCCTTTTGTTACTGGTTATTTTCACTTAGCATAAAGTTTTCAAGTTTTATCCATGTGACATGTATAAACAGTTCATCTTTCTTATGACTAAATAGTATTTTATTTTAAAGATATACCACATTTTGTTTATCTCTTCATAAGCTGATAAATTTTAGTTTCTTTCCACTTTTTGACTGTTATGAACAATGGTGCTATGTACATTGATTTTTTTATTTGAAACATTCCCACCAACAGTGTATGAAGGCTCCAGTTTTTCCACATCCTCACTAATACTTGTTATTTTTCATTTCTTTAAATAGCCATTCTAGTAGTATCTCTATTGTGGTTTGGGTTTTATTTTTTAATATTTTATTTATTTATTTATTTATTTGGGAGAAAGAGAGAAAGAGCACAAGCAAGGGGGGTAGCAGAGGGAAAGGGAGAAGCAGGCTCCCCACTGATCAGGGAGCCCCATGTGGGGCTTGATCCCAGGACTCCAGGATCATGACACAAGTCAAAGGCAGACACTTAACCAACCAAGCCACCCAATTGCCCCTCTATTGTGGTTTTGATTTGCATTTCCCTAATAACTAATAATGCTGAACTTCTTTTCATGTGCCTATTGGCCATTTGTATATCCTCTTTTAGAGAAATCTGTATTCAAATCCTATGCCCATTTTTCAATTACATCATCTCTTTTTTACTGTTGAGCTGTAAGAGTTCTTTATATATTTTAAACACCAAATCTTTATCAGATATATGATTTTATAAATAGTTTCTTCCATTCTTTTCATTTTGATAGTGTCCTTTGATGTTTAAAAGTTTTTTCCATTGGATGAGGTCAAATTTATCTATTTTTTCTTTGGTGACTTGTGCTTCTGGTGTTATAGCTAAGAGATCACTGCCAAAGTAGACATCAACAGACATTTCTCCAAAGAAGACATACAAATGGCCAACAGACACATGAAAAATGCTCTACATCATTGGGCATCAGGGAAATACAAATCAAAACCACAATGAGACACCACTTCACACCAGTCAGACTGGTTAAATTGAACAACTCAGGAAACAACAGATGTTGGCAAGGATGTGAAGAAAGAGAAACTCTCTTACACTGTTGGTGAGAATGCAAACTGGTGCAGCCACTCTAGAAAACAGTAGGAAGGTTCCTCAAAAAGTGAAAAATAGAGCTACCCTACACCCAGCAACTGCACAACTTGGTATTTACCCAAAGGATACAAACATCATGATTTGAATGGGCACATGAACCCCAATGTTTATAGCACCAATGTCCACAGTAGCCAAAATATGCAAAGAGGCCAGATGTCTCGTGACAGATGAATGGATGAGGATGTACTGTGGAATATTACTCAGCCATCAAAAAGTATGAACTCTTACCATTTGGAATGACATGGATGGAAGTAGAGGGTATTATGCTAAGTAAAATAAGTCAGAGAAAGACAAATACCATATGATTTCACTGATATGTGGAATTTATGAAACAAAACAGATGAACATGGGGGGAGGAAGGGGAAAATGAAGATGAAATCAGAGAGGGAAGCAAGCCATAGAGATGCTGAACTTGAGGAAACAGACTGAGAGTTGCTGGCAGGGAGGTGGGAGGAGGGATGGGGTAACTGGGTGATGGACATTAAGGAGGGTACTTGATGTAATGAGCATTGGGTATTATATGCAACTGACAAATCACTAATTCTACCCCTGAAACTAATAATACACTCTATGTCAATTAATTGATTTTAATTTTTTTTAAATCCAGAAAAGTGGGAAAAGATCACTGCCAAATCTAAGGTTACAAAAATTAATGTGATTCCTCCTAGGAGGTTTACAGCTTTATTTCTTACCTTGGGGTTTTTATCTATTTTGAGTTAATTTTTGTATATCATGAGGCAGGGCATATCCAAATGGCCCAGAACCATTTGTTGAAAGATTACTTTTCCCCATTAAATGAACTTGGTACCTTTGTCAAAAATCAATTGATTGCAGACATATAGGTTTATTTCTGGACTGTCACTTCCATTCCATTGATCTGTAGGCCTATCCTTTTGCTGGTACCACACCATCTTAATTACTGTAGATTGGTAGTAAGTTTTGAAATTGGAAATTCTTCTCTTTCAAGATTATTTTGGCTATTCTGTGTCCTTTGCATTTCCATATGAATTTTAGAATCAGCTTGCCCATTTCTCAGCATTACTGAACAAGCCTTGCATTCCTGGGATAAACCACACTTGATCATGATGTATTATCCTTTTTATAAGTACTATTTGTATAGACTTAAATTTTTATTAAATATTGCTCTGTAGTCAACAAAGAGTTTTAAACTGCATATTGATATAAACAGTTTCTCATTTGGAAAGTTCACCCTCCCTCTATGGATTAGAGGGAGACAACATGAGACTATGAGAGACCAGCAAGGCTACAGCTAGGTCCACAGGAAAAATGATGATGGCCTGGACCAGGCTGATTTCAGTAGAAATGTAGGGAGTAGATAGATTTGAGATTGATCTTTTTCTTGCCCTTGTTCCCAGTGTATTCACCCACACTCCCTCAACCCCAATATACACACCCTGAACTCTCTCTTGCTCTCTCCCTTCTTGGTGCTTTATTTCCCCATTCTTCACTTCTCTAGTTCTTCCACCTTAACTATCACTTTCTCCAGGAAACCTTCCCCAATACTCTTGTGTAGATGCCCCTCCCATTTGCTCTCATAACACCCAGACTGTCCCAGTTTAAGTATTTATCACCCTTGATTATAATTTGCATGTGTAATACCTGTGTGTGGTGAAGGAGTTCACTAGCTATCCTTCTCCATGTGATCTTGGACTACACACACAAAACAGAGAAGTAGTATCACATCCACAGTTGACTTCCTGGAACTCCCCTACACATTCTCCCTGACCCCACTCCTTGTATGTGTCAGGCACTTATGCCATCAACAGTCAACTTGTGTTGATAAAACCTATGAAAAGACCATTTGAAGAATTTGAGTAATCACAAAGAACTATGAAAAACAGACTAAACTGGTTTCATCCACATATGATGCATTAATTACCGGCAAACCAGTAATGAAAATTTAAGGAATACACATAGAACTACAGATACAATGTCATGAGCACAGTACTATTTCAGGAATTTGCAAGGATAATTTGAACTAGAAATTTTTGCCTCTCGTACCACATAAGATAATCCACATAAGATGAAATCACACTGCTTTTGCAGGGGTGATACTCAAAAATTCAAACTTCTGGGGCTGCTCAGGCACTGACCAGGGGCTTAGCTGGACTCCTCCTCTGAGGTGGCCTGTCTGACCTCATAGTTGCTGGATCATGGGGAAGTTCAAAGAGTATTAGGGAAGTGCTCTGCACTTACCTGGCTGCCCTTGATAATAGCACTGTTCTCCCAGGTACCAGCACTCTTTCTGAACATCACCACCAGGCCAGTGTGCTGATATCGAGGTGCACCAAGAACCAGGTTTTGTACCCTGTTCCTCAAGATGACTTCAGCAGCATAACCTGAAGATGGTGATCTGGAGAAGGTAAGTGTTTCCTTCACAGACCCTGCTCCCTCTGAGAGACCTATCCCTTGAGTAGGAGCAATGTAGTAGCCCCATGCTTAGTAGGTTGGGATAACTGGACCCTGAACTATATTCCCATTTGTTAACACAATTAAATTGAAATTTTGAAATTTCTGTCCTTACAGTTATTCCAAGGGTCCACAAAAGAGCCAATGATATATATGTTAATTGAATTAGGCCATATCCTGACCCCTTCTTAAAGTTACTCTGCCCTTTCCACTTACCCAAGTAAGCATCATTCATGTCTGAATCTACCCTGGTTGTGTTGATGAAGGTAAATTTATCCTTTGACACATGAAGAAAGGCTCCACCAGCCCAGTCAAAGCTTCCCACAGCACCTAGCAAGAGACCATTCTGGGAAACAGGGTAGAACAAGATTGAGCAGCCTGCAATTTCAGTTCAATCTTTATCAAAATTCCAATGGCATTTTTCACAGAAATAGAACAAACAATCCTAAAATTTGTATGGAACCACAAAAGACCCCAAATACCCAAAGCAATTTGGTGCAGCAGCTGTGGACAACAGAATGGAGGTTCCTCAAAAATTTTAAAATAGAATTACCAAATTATCCAACAATCCTACTTCTGAGTATTTATCCAAAGGAAATGAAAACCCTAAATCAAGAGATATCCCACATTTATGAAGCATTATTTACAATAGCCAAGACACAGGGACCCCTGGGTAGTTCATTCAGTTGGGAATTCAACTCTTTATTTCAGCTCAGATCATGGTCTTGAGGTTGTGGGACTGAGACCCACATTTGGCTCCATGCTCAGCATGGAATTCACTTGAGATTCTCTCCATCTGGCTCTGCCCCTCCCCCCACTCACACTCACTCACTCACTCTCTCTTCCAAAATAAAATCTTGAAAAAAAAATTTAAAAAAACAATAGCCAAGGATGTGGAGAAAGGGGAACCCTCTTATACTCTTGGTGGGAATGCAAGTTGGTGCAGCCACTTTGGAAAACAGTGTGGAGATTCCTTAAAAAATTAAAAATAGAGCTACCCTATGACCCTGCAATTGCACTACTGGCTATTTACCACAAAGATACAGATGTAGTGAAAAGAAGGGCCATCTGTACCACAATGTTCATAGCATCAATGGCCACAATCACCAAACTGTGGAAAGAGTGAAGATGCTCTTCAACAGATGAATGGATAAAGAAGATATGGTCCATATATACAATGGAATATTACTCAGCCATCAGAAAGGATGAATACCCAGCTTTTGTTGCAACACAGACCGGACTGGAGGAGATTATGCTGAGTGAAATCAGTCAAGCAGAGACAGTCAATTATCATATGGTTTCCCTCGTGAAGCATAAGGAATAACATGGAGGATATTAGGAGAAGGAAAGGAAAAGTGAATTGGGGGAAATTGGAGGGGGAGACAAGGCATGAGAGACTGTGGACTCTGAGAAACAAACTGACAGTTTTGGAAGGGAGGGGAATGGGGGGATGGATGAGACTGGTGGTGGGTATTAAGGCGGGTATGTATTGCATGGAGCACTGGGTGTGGTGCATAACAATGAATCTTGGAAGACTGAAAAAATTAAAAAATTAAAAATTAAAAAATACCCAAGATATGGAAATAATCTATCCATCAAGGCATGAATAAAGAAAATGTGATATATAATACAATGGAATATTATTTGGCCATAAAAAAAGAAAATCCTGCCATTTGTGACAACACATATGTACCCACCTTGAAGGCATTATGCTAAGCAAAATAAGTCAGAGAGAGACAAGTAGGGTATGATCTCCCTTATATGTGGAATCTAAAGACAAAACAAAACTGAATTATATAGATGCAAAGAACAGATTGGGGTTTGCAAAAGGCAATGAGTTGGGAGAGTAGGCAAAATGGGTGATGGTGGTCAAAAGGTACAAATTTCCAGTTATTAAATAAATAAATGCAGGGATGCAATATAAAGCATAGTGAGTATAGTTAGCTAAACTGTAATGTATATTTGAAATTGCTAAGAAAATAAATCTTATTACCAAGAATCAGTCCCAAATGGAGGCTATAAAAATTAGAATGAATGAGACAGAAGAACAACTCAGTGATATAGAAGATAAAATGACAAAAAATAAGGAAACTGAAAAGAAGAGAGAAAGAGGGCACCTGGGTGGGTGGTTAAGCATCTGCCTTCAGCTCACATCATGATCTCAGAGTCCTGGGATTGATTCCCACATCAGGCTCCCTCAGAGAGCCTGCTTTTCCCTCTGCCTGCTGCTCCCCCTGATTGTACTCTCACTCTCTCTCTGTCTGTCAAATAAATAAAAAAATCTTCTAAAAAGAGAGAAAGAGAGAAAGAAAACTACTGAACAACAAAGACATACTTAAATAGAACTCAGCAGTTCCATAAAGTGAAGTAACAGCTTGATAGTAGGGATCCCAGAAGATGAGGGGCAGGGGAGAGGGACAGAAGGCTTATTTGAACAAATTATAGCTGAGAACTTCCCTAATCTGAAGAAGGAAACAGGTATTCAAGTCCATAAAAGAAGGAAACAGGCATTCAAGTCCAAAAAAGTCCATAAAAATAGGTCAACACATCAGCATATGATAACGAATTTTTCAAATTTCAGAGATAAACAGAAAATCCTGAAAGCACCTTGGGACAAGAGGTCCCAACCTCCAAGGGTAGAAACATAAGGCTGTCAGCAGACATGCCCCAGAGACAGGGCAGGCCAAAAAGAACTGGCATGATATATTCAATGTGCTAAATGGGAAAAATATGCAGCCAAAAATACTTTATCCAGCAAGGCTGTCATTCAGAATGAAAGGAGAAATAAAGAATTTCAGTACAAACAAAAACTAAATGAATCTGTGAACACTAAACCAACCCTGCAAGAAATATTAAAGGGGATCCTTTGAGTGAAGAGAGAGCCCAGTGGTAACAAAGACCAGAAAGGAACAGAGACAATCTACAGAAATAGCAACTTTACAGATAATACAATAGCACTAAATTCGTATCTTTCAATAATTAATCTGAATGTAGGGGCGCGGGGAAGACAAGATGGCGGGGAAGTAGGAGGAGGAGCCGTTTCAACCTGTACCCTAAAGTGAGCTGATCACCTACTGAAGAACTCCGATCACCCATGAAATCAGCCTGAGATCAGAATTATACACATCTGGATCTCTACAGGGGCAGAAGACAGCAGTGGGCAGGTAAAGCGGAGTGGGAACGTGGGACTGATATCGGAGGATAAACAAAAGGGGGAGGGAGCCACCAGAGGCAACCCATTGGAAAGTAATACCCCAATACGAGAGTGCCCTGCATCTGGGGACCAGCATTAACTTGGAGTCTGGTTGAAAGCACTCAAAAAGAGCAAAGGATCATGAGGGGAAACTGTGGGAATCAGGGCGTTTAGGGGCAGGGGCTTAAGTCCCCGGACCCAGGACAGCCACCCCTGGCACTGAGCCGGAGAGACTGCAGCAGAGATACCAGGTCTTGGTCCCTGAGCCGGAGCGCACTTGAGAACGCGTGGGGTCCGGCTCCCGTGAGGTGCTGGGAGCCTCGCCAGACGGCAGAACACTGCGCCGTGTTATCAGAGCCTGAGTCCCACGCACTCGCCCCACAGCCTCCCCTGAGAGAGGTGCGTGCAGGCGCCAGCCCGGTGCTCTCGGACCCGGCACTCCCAGCCCAGGCCAGCGGGAAAATCTCAGCATGCTATTGCTGCTTGGAATCTCTCTGACGGTCTGGAGCTGCCCGACAGCCGCCGCTGTCATGGTTTTGGGTACAAGCAGGAGTTCCTGTGTCCCCAGGGACCGCAACTCAGAACCTGCTCTGCCAGCGGCCGAGGAGGAACTTAATGTGCTCTGGAGACCCAGAGGGGAACAGACTGAGGCTTCTTTCTGAGAGGGGGGTCGGGGTGCTGTTTGCTTTCCTCTAAACCTCCCAAAACCATCAAAAGCTGTCAAGGCGAGAGAAAAGAAACAAACATAAAAACCTCCAGAGAACAAAAGCCTGAAAAACCGGTTTCCTCAGAGCCCACCCCCTTGAGGGGGGCGGGAGGACTTAACTCAGGGAACATCCTTGACTGAAAACCCATGCGGCAGGCCCCTCCCCCAGAAAACCAACCAGGGCCGGGCCGGGGGCGGGGGGGGGCGGGGGGAGACGACAAGAGAACAACCACCACTACTTCATAGATACAACTTTTGTTTTTGTTCGTTCCCACTATTCTGTTCCTTTTTTATATATATATATAGATAATTTTTTAACCTACTTACCATCACAGTGAGATGTCCAGTATATCAAATTCCATAATAACCTTTTAACCTGAACTTTTTGATACCTATACCTGTGTTTTGCTTTTCTATTTTTTAATTTTTTTTTAATTTTAGTTTAGTTTAGTTCATTCTTTTTTTATTTTAATTTTTTAATATTCATGTAGAGTTAAACTTCAAGGTAATCCCCTTTCCCCAACCAATGCTACCCCTATAGGTAAACCAATTTTTAATCCCCCTTTATCTTAGGAAAGTTGAGTCCTTTAACAAAGGTATCAAGATACATCCAGGAAGAATCAAAATAACCTTCCTCGCCCACACTGAGAATTTATAACCACTCTCCCATCTTTTTCTTCCTCCAGTGTTTCTGTGTATTTGTGTTTGTCCTGATAGTATATAAATCTTATACTTGGGGTTCTTTTTGACGAGGTTCTTCTTTTTTTTTTTTTTTTTTGCTTTTATGTATATACATATTTTTTCTCTTGTCATATACTTTTATCAGTCTGTTTGTTTGTATACTTCATAAATCTTACTGAAGGTAGGGGCGCCTGGGTGGCTCAGTTGACTGAACATCTGCCTTTGCCTCAGGTCATGATCCAGGGTCCTGAGATCGGGCCCCGCATTGGGTTCCCTGCTCAGTGGGAGCTTGCTTCTCCCTCTCCCTCTGCCTGACACTCTGCCTTCTTTTGCTTTCCCTCTTTCAAATAAATAAATAAATCTTTTTTAAAAAAGTAAGAAAGAAAGAGAAAAACATATAGAATAGTTTTTTTAAATAATAATTAATTGGAATGTAAATTGACTAAATGTTCCTATCAAGAGACACAGGATGGGGCACCTGGGTGGCTCAGTGGGTTAAAGCCTCTGCCTTCAGCCCAGGTCATGATCCCAGGGTCCTGCGATTGAGCCCCACATCGGGCTCTCTGCTCAGCAGGGAGCCTGCTTCCTCCTCTCTCTCTCTCTCTGACTGCCTCTCTGCCTACTTGTAATCTGTCAAATAAATAAATAAAATCTTTAAAAAAAAAAAAGACAAAGGATATCAAATTGGATTTTAAAAAAAAAGACCCACTGATATGCTGCTTACAAAAGACTCATTTTAAACCTCATTTAAACTCATTTAAAACCAGACACCTCCAGATTGAAAGCAAGAGGTAGAGAAGCATCTATCATCCAAATGGACTTCAAAAGAAAGCTGGAGTAGCAATCCTTATATCAGAAAACTAGATTTTAAACCAAAGACTGTAATAAGAGATGAAGAAGGACACTGTTTCATAATAGAAGGGTCTACCCAACAGGAAGATCTAACATCTGTAAATATTTATGCCCCAAACTTGGGAGCTGACAACTATATAAACCAATTAATAACAAAACTGAAGAAACACATTTAAAATAATACAATAATGGTAAAGAATGTTAACACCCCACTGACAGCAATGGACAGATCATCTAAGCAGAAGATCAAAGAGTAAACAAGGGCTTTGAATGACACACTGGACCAGATGGACTTCACAGATATATTCAGAGCATTTCATCCTAAAGCAGGAGAATACACATTCTTCTTGATTGCACATGAAACATTCTCTAGAATATCTCACTTACTGGGTCACAAATCAGGTTCTCAACTGGTACGTGAAGACCGAGATTATATCATGCATATATTCAGACTACAATGCTTTAAAACTTAAAGACAACCACAAGAAAATCTTGGGAAGGAACACAAATATATGGAGGTTAAAAAACATCCTACTAAAGAATGAATGGGTCAACAAAGAAATTAAAGAAGAATTTTAAAATACATGGAAGTAAATGAAAGTGAAAACACTACAGTTTAGAAGCTTTGGGATGCAGTATATATGAATACAGCCCTTCCTCAAGAAACAAGAAAAGTCTCAAATATGCAAGCTAACCTTATACCTAAAGGGGCTGGAAAAAAGAACAGGAAACAAAACCTAAATCCAGCAGGACAAGAGAAATAATAAAGATTAGAACAAAAATCAATGATATATAAGTTTAAAAAAATAGTAGAACAGATTCTTTGAAAGACTTAGTAAGATAGATAAAGCCCTAGCCAGGCTTATCAAAAAGAAAAGAGAAAGAACAAATAAATAAAATCATGAATGAAAGACAAAAGATCACAACCAGCACCAAAGAAATACAGTTATAAGAACATATTATGAGCAACTATATGCCAACAAATTAAGCAATCTGGAAGAAATAGATGCAATCCTAGAAACACAAACTACCAAAACTGAAACAGGAAGAAATGAAAAATGTGAAGAGACCTATCCCCACCAAGGAAATTGAAGCAGTAATAAAAAACCTCCCAAAAAACAAGACTCTAGGCCCAGATGATTTCCCAGGGGAATTCCACCAAATATTTAAAGAAGAATTAATACCTATTTTTCTAAAGGTGTTTCAAAAAATAAAAAGGGAAGGAAAACTTCCAAACTCTTTCTATGAGGCCAGCATTACCTTTACCCCAAAACCAGACAAAGACCCCACCAAAAAGAATTACAGACCAATATCCCTGATGAACATGAATCCAAAAATTCTCACCAAGATATTGGTTAATAGGTTCCAACAGTACATTAAAAGGATTATTCACTATGACCAAGTGGGATTTATTCCTGGGCTAGAAGAGTGGTTCAACATCCACAAATCAATCAACAAAATATACCACATTAATAAAAGAAAGGACAAGAACCATATGATCCTCTCAATTGGTGCAGAAAAAACATTTGACAAAATACAGCATCCTTTCTCCATTAAAACTCTCCACTGTTTAGGGATAAAGGGAACATACCTCAACATCATATAAGCCATATGTGAAAGGTCCACAGTGAATATCATCCTCCACAAGGAAAGACTGAGAGCTTTTTCCCCTATGGTCAGAAACATGACAGGGATGCCCATTCTCACCACTGGTGTTCAAAATAATACTGGAAAACCTAGCACCAGCAATCAGACAATAAAAAGAAATAAAAGGTATCTAAATCTGCAAAGAAGAACTCTTTGCAGATGATACGATACTCTCTGCAGAAAACCCAAAAGAATCCACCAGAAAGTGCTAGAACTGATAGAGGAATTCAGCAAAGTTGCAGGATATAAAATCAATGCACATCAGTCATTTGCATTTCTATACACTAACAATGAGGCAGAAGAAAGAGAAATCAAGGAATCAGTCCCATTTACAATTGCACCAAGAACTGTAAGATACCTAGGAATAAACCTAACCAAAAAGGTAAAGGATCTGTACTCTGAAAACTAAAAAATATTTATGAAAGAAATTGAGGAAAGCACAAAGAAATGGAAAAACATTCCATGCTCATGCATCAGAAAAACAAATATTGTTAAAATGTCTATGCTACCTCGAGCAATCTACACATGTAATGCAATCACTATCAAGATACCATCAGCATTTTCCACAAAGCTGGAACAAATGCCCTAAAATTTGTACGGAACCAGAAAAACCCTGAATAGCCACAGGAATGTTTAAAAAGAAAACCAAAAAAAAAAAAAAAGAAAAAAAAGAAAACCAAAGCTGGAGGCATCACAATCCAGACTTCAAGCCATATTACAAGGCTATAATCATCAAGATAGTATGTACTGGCACAAAAACAGACAGATAAATCAATGGAACAGAATAGAGAACCCAGAAATGGACCTTCACCTCTATGCTCAACTAATCTTTGACAAAGCAGGAAAGAATATCGAATGGAGAGAGTCTTTTCAACAAATGGTACTGGGAAAACTGGATGCCAACATGCAAAGAATGAAACTGTACCATTTTCTTATACCATACACAAAAATAACCTCAAAACAGATGACAGACCTAAATGTGAAACAGGAATCCATCAAAATTCTAGAGGAGAACATAGGCAGCAACCTCTGACCTCAACCACAGCAGCTTCCTGTCAGACACATCTCCAATGGCAAGAGAAACAAAAACAAAGATGAACTATTGGGATCTCATCCAAATGAAAAGCTTTTGCATAGCAAAGGAAATGATCAACAAAACTAAAAGGCAACTTATGGAATGGGAGAAGATATTTGCAAATGTCTTATCAAATAAAAGGCTAGTATCCAAGATCTATAAAGAACTTATAAAAAAACTTATCAAATTCAACACCCAAAAAAACAAAAATCCAATCAAGAAATGGGCAGAAGACGGGGCGCCTGGGTGGCTCAGTGGGTTAAAGCCTCTGCCTTCGGCTCAGGTCATGATCCCAGAGTCCTGGGATCAAGCCCCACATCAGGCTCTCTGCTCCGTGGGGAGCCTGCATCCTCCTCTCTCTCTGCCTGCCTCTCTGCCTACTTGTGATCTCTGTCAAATAAATAAATAAAATATTTTAAAAAAAAGAAATGAGCAGAAGACATGAATAGACACTTTTCCAAAGAAGACATCCAGATGGCTAACAGAACATTTAAAAAATGCTCTACATCACTGGGCATCAGGGAAATACAAATCAAAACCACAATGAGACACCACTTCACACCAGTCAGACTGGTTAAATTGAACAACTCAGGAAACAACAGATGTTGGCAAGGATGTGAAGAAAGAGAAACACTCTTACACTGTTGGTAAGAATGCAAACTGGTGCAGCCACTCTAGAAAACAGTAGGAAGGTTCCTCAAAAAGTGAAAAATAGAGCTACCCTACACCCAGCAACTGCACAACTTGGTATTTACCCAAAGGATACAAACATCATGATTTGAACGGGCACATGAACCCCAATGTTTATAGCACCAATGTCCACAGTAGCCAAAATATGCAAAGAGGCCAGATGTCTCGTGACAGATGAATGGATGAAGATGTGCTATGGAATATTACCCAGCCATCAAAAAGAATGAACTCTTACCATTTGGAATGACATGGATGGAAATAGAGAGTATTATGCTAAGTGAAATAAGTCAGAGAAAGACAAATACAATATGATTTCACTCATATGTGTAATTTAAGAAATAAAACATGAACATAGGGTAAGGGAAGGAGCAAAGGAAAAATGAAATAAGATGAAAATAGAGAGGGTAGCAAAGAGATGCTGAGATGCTGAGCTTAAGGAAACATACTGAGGATTGCTAGATGCAACTGATGAATCACTAAATTCCTCCCCTGAAACTAATAATACAATATATGTTAACCAAATTGAATTTAAATAAAGAAAAAAAGAAAAGGAATCTTAAAGTTTTCATCAAAAGAAAAAAATTTTGTAACATATGTAGTGATACATATTAATTAGACTTATTGTAGTGATGTTTTCACAATATACACATATATCAAATCCTTATGTTGTATACTTGAAGCTAAAATCTTTTTTTTAAAGATTTTATTTATTTATTTGATAGACAGAGATTACAAGTAGATAGGCAGGCAGGGAGAGAGAGGAGGAAGCAGGCTCCCTGTTAAGCAGAGAGCCCAAGGTGGGGCTTGATCCCAGGACCCTGGGATCATGACCTGAGCCAAAGGCAGAGACTTTAACCCACTAAGCCACCCAGGCACCCCTTGAAGCTAAAATCTTATCGTATATCCATATCTGTGTCATATACCCTCAATGACAACAAAAACAAACCAAAAAAAAAAAAAACAGGATTAAAAAGGAAAAGATAAGGGACAACTGCTCCCCATCAAAGAAATGCCTCCCAACAAGTACTCATTGCAGATAAAAGTCACCAAACCTCTTGCCCAATCCCAATTTAATGAAGGACCACTTACAGAGGTGATGGCAGCACTGAAGCCTTCCTGAGACATCTCATGCTCAAAGGAGCTGGCACTCCCTGTCTGAGTACCTGTGAGGAGGAGAGATTTCTATGATAAAGAAAGCAGAAGAGCTGGAACTCAAATGCTATGGTGACCAGACAAAAGGATGCTCAGATGGCAGCTATGCTGAATTAGAAAGTATATACCCCGTTTATAAAGATGGTAGCTATTTGGCTCCAACTGGTTTTTGCCACATGAGAATGCAGTCTAATGTTCCAACTTTTTAAGACAAACCATAAATCCATATTGTATATGAACCCTCCCCCAGTTTTTTAAATTCTCTTAATCAGTTAACATTTATTGAGCACCCTCTGTGTACCAGACACTATTCTAGACACTGGAGATTCAGCAATGAAACAGACACACAAATACTGGCAACATATCCAAATTCTTGGAAAAATCGTGTGTGAGGTTTGGCTCCCCTACCCTCCAATTTTCCAGCCTATAGCCAATGCAAAGTAGAGATAAAGTCCAGATCCTTTGATTTCAAAGGAAATGACCAAGTGAGGCCAGAGTTGCTGGGAACTAGGGGAAGTGGAGAGAATTGAATTAATCCTAAGAGTCAAGATACCAAGGATTAGGAAGTCCTAGTTTCTAAAGGAGAAATGCATATTGGAGGGTAAAGGACTGCCTCTGGAGCTGCTGCAGGAATGCAGAACCTTAGCTTACCCTCAATTGCAAATATCTTTTCCTGAAGCTGGTTTTGAATGGTCTTCAGAGCTTCAAAGTTATTCACCCGGAACACATGATCACGAGAAGGCTTGGATGCAATGATATTAAGCTCTTCACGATTTTTTGGAATATTGAAAGCATCTCCCACCTGTTACCAAGGACAGTGACAATCAGACACCATCTGGAGTTAGCTGTCTCATCCAGAAAAAAAAAAAAAAATTCTGAAAGAAAAGATTCTGAAACAGAATATGTCAAATGAGGGAATGCACCATAAGGCCACTGGGACAGGGCCACCAAGTTGAGTAAAACAGATTATGCACTGCGTGGGGTATTCTGTCAAGGAAGTTATTAGGAGCTGAAATACAGCCTTTGGTTCCTTTGTTGTGCCATGCATCCTGGTGTGGGGCTGACCTCTCCCCAGAGTAAAGAGTCTTTTCCTCTATATAAAGAGGTTTCCTACTTGTCAAACCATGCACCAAAGATGATACCTTTTTCTGTCATACAAAGTAATGTGGTAGTTTGACTACAATGATGATCTGAACTCTTTACCTGTTCCTATATCCAAGCTCTTTCCCCCCAGAACTTTGCTGTATCTTCTCACTCATGGCAGAGTAATCTACCCTGCTTACATCTCTGGGTGCAGCCATGCATCTTGCTAATATCCATTGGTAATAGATATTATCATAAATGATGCAGACTGAGGCTTCAAAGAGTGTTTGCAACATTTCCATTTGCTCTTTTGTTCCCCTGCCTTCACCATGAGGACATGTCCAGGCTAGCGCACAGAAGGATCGCACAGAAGGATCACACAGGGAGCAGAAGAACCAAGTTACTCCAGTTGTTCCAGCCATTCTAGTACAGCAAACAGACATAACTGGAAACCCTCAGAAATGGAGAGAGCTCAGCCAAGATCAGCAAAGCTGCCAACCAACCTTCAAATGAATACAGTTATAAGAGTGAGCCAGTCAAAATCAGAAAAACTCCCCAGCTGAACTACAGAATCATTTGTTTCAAAGACTGAATTCTAATTTGTTACACTTAACTGATATAGGCCCATATGGGCTAGCAGTGACCCTTGGCCCACCTTGGTTTTAGGGATATTTTCAAACTGAAGGAAAGGTATATCCAAACAGAAACCCTCCACAGAAACATCAGGCCAGAGAGCCACATCTCCTACCCCAATGACATAGCGAATGATCCCCTCTCTGTCTGCTTCAGGGATGACATCCTTGTAATCCAAGGGATCATCAAACTTTTCTCCATCTGTGATGACAACTAGGATCTTAAAGACATTCTCCCGGGCGCCTCTGCTACTGTGAAACAGTTCTCTTCTGTCCAGGGAAGAGGAAAGAAAAGTCAAATGTGAAGAGACAGAGATACTCGTTATGCTAGGGAGGGAATGTCAGCAGTCACAGGCACAGATGCAGCTAAGAGAGGTTTAGGCTCCCCTGGAATGAACATTGAGATGTGGTTGCCCCAAGACCTGGAAAGGCAGCAAGAGAAGGGAGAAGAATGGAAGGAAAGGAAAGCATCACTGCCTTTATATACTTTTGCATAAACTGATTTTTTAACTGAGTATTACACCCTTAAATTAAAACAAATTTTTAAGCTTAATTGGGCTTTCACAAACCTTTCCTGGTTTGATTCAACAACTCTCTAGCTCATCTTCCTGAACTTCTGTCCCAACCCCCACCCTCACCTCTACACACACACACACATCACAACATATCAGAGTGAACTTCCAAAACAAGATGTGGTGACATCTCCTCACTGCTTAATACATTCAGTAGATCCCCACTCACTTTTCAGTTGCCTTAAGTGACCTGGCCTCAAATGATCTCTGTAGCCTCTTTCTAGTCTTACCCTCACATCTCTCCTTCAGTCGTACCTTTACTCACAACTTGTATTTCATGAGTGTACCATGCAGAGTCTCTCCTCCACCTTTACTCATGTCCTTTACCCCATCCCTGTCTGTATAAGACCCTTCATTCTTCAAATTCCAGCAAAAAAAAAAAAATCATCTCCTCCTTCCACCCTAAGCAAAGATCTTTTTGTGTGCATTATGTTAGTCACCATAAAATACATCATTAGTTTTTGATGTAGTGTTCCAAGATTTATTGTTTATGTACAACACCCAGTGCTCCATGTAATACATAACCTCCTTAACACCCACCACAAGGCTCACCCATATCCCCATCCCCCTCACCTCTAAAACTGTCAGTTTGTTTCTCAGAGTCCCCAGGCTCTCATGGTTTGTCTCCCCCACTGATTTCCCCCATTTCACTTTTCCCTTCCTTCCCCTAATGTCCTCCATGTTGGTCCCAAGCAAAGATCTTACACTACTTTGCGGATTCCTGTGGCAGTGTATGTCCTCCCATATAGCTGTCTTATTGGCTTCACCAGAAATTCTGGGTCAGGGTTTTTCTTGAACTGATTGAAGGTGAAATGAAGCTGGAAGTCTTCAGAGAACTGCATCAAAGAAAACTGGGAACAAGCATCTGCCATTACATTGGAGAAGATGACTCTCCTCACACTTACCCATCTCCCAGGAAGCTCTACATAGATCTTGAAACATTTCAGTCTCCAAATCCCTCCAAATTCTATACTGTCCCCAATCCTTCTGCCTCACGAGGACAGAGATCTGCCATCAGCTCCCTCTTCTAAGTACAGAACTCACCCAGAGATGATATGTGAGTTTTATCTCCCATATCAACCATTATCAATGAGTCAGAGTCGTATACTATACAGAGAGCTGGAAGAAGCTGAGGCTGCATCCAGACAGAGAAGGAAAAAGAATCATGGAAGAAAACCATGATCAATTTGCAATTTAACAATGTCTGCAATAGAAGTAAAAGGGGAAAGTGGAGACCTGGATGCCATGTATTTGCCAACCTTTTATGAGCTATTTCCTAACCTACCCATATGCCCTCACCAAGGTTTTGGACTTCTTGAATAGATCCATCACAGTTGAGACAAAGGCCTTCATCCGCTGAAAGTCACTCGGGATGATGCTACCAGAGCCATCAATCAAGAAGGCAATATCACTGTCTTGTCGAGGGCACTCTTGGGGAACAAAAGAAAGGATGAACTAATTAAGTACTAGTACATGCACTAACTAAATGCATTCATTTTTTTTTTGCATGTCAGCTCTCTGATAAGAAGTTAAAATAAAAGGTAAACAATATCCAAACCATGTTCCAAGCTTAATAAAAACATGGACACAATCTCAAGATCACAGCCACCATGAAGAAGACATCTGCCAGAAGATGCCAATGTTACTTTTTTTTTTATTTCTTTTCAGCGTAACAGAATTCATTGTTTATGCACCACACCCAGTGCTCCATGCAATACGTGCCCTCCATAATACCCACCACCTGGCTCCCCCAACCTCCCACCCCCCACCCCTTCAAAACCCTCAGATTGTTTTTCAGAGTCCATAGTCTCTCATGGTTCACCTCCCCTTCCAATTTCCCTCAACTCCCTTCTCCTCTCCATCTCCCCATGTCCTCTATGTTATTTGTTATGCTCCACAAATAAGTGAAACCATATGATAATTGACTCTGTCTGCTTGTCTTATTTCACTCAGCATAATCTCTTCCAGTCCCATCCATATTGATACAAAAGTTGGGTATTCATCCTTTCAGATGGAGGCATAATACTCCATAGTGTATATGGACCACATCTTCCTTATCCATTTGTCCGTTGAAGGGCATCTTGGTTCTTTCCACAGTGCCAATGTTACTTTTGAAGATCAACAAAAGATAAACAAATTTTCATGAATACTAGTAGATTCACATAGCTGAAGGAAGAAATAGAAGTAAAAAAGAAAACTACAAAATTTAAAGATGCTTGTAAGGACATCATACTTGCAGATGGATGACTAATGCTTAATAATTCCTTATCAGTTTTGTGATGTTTTCATTAGCCATTCACAAGAATAAACACAGGAAATGTTAGGAAAAGCAAAGAAAAATTTGCAGGAAGAAACTGAAGCCTTAGAGTCTACAGTAGAATCAATTCAGCAGGTTTTAGCATATTAAAAAGTACAATTATATGCAAAATTTGGGAGCAAAATAAACCTTGATGCTGATGAAAGTTAACCATTTTATAATACTTTTTAAGATCTGTTTAATAAACTTGAATATTGTTTAATACAATTTGGAATATGGATGAAGTGTGGGAAAATTTGGTAAATTTTGCCCAAGGAAGTCAGGAAAAGTAGTAGTATCAGAGCTAACTCTGAGAAGGAGAAATAATTTGCCAGAAATACAAAGGGTGAAATAAATTACAGGAAAAAAAGGAACAGCGCATACAACAATATGCTGGATATCCTCCTCCTTTCTGTTCCTAGGCCCAAATCCACTTTCTACCCTCCTCCAATCTGCTCTGCACCCCAGGAAGTCAGCCCACATAAACCACATGCATTCTGGATTCCTTTGCCTCTGATTTCTACTTGGATTTGCCCAATTAGGAGCCTCAATAGAAGACTGGAGGGAGGGAAGAGTGAGATCAGAGTATTCTCCCCTCACTCCCTTCCTGGAAGGTTGCTTTGGGCCAGCTGTGGCCCTCAGTGGAAAATCACTGCTCCTTCAAGGAGGCACACTCCACACAACTCTCTCCTTCTGAATTCTGGTTACTTCTCCTTCTCCTTGTCCAATCAGCCTAGGAGTGGTAACAGCTCTGCTGCTGCCTGCCCTGGGTTCCTGGATCATCCACTGTAGTTCTCTAAGACTCTAACAAACCTTAAAAATTAGTCCCTTTGTAAATAAAACCTTCTCAAATTATTCTAACTGGAGTGTACCATCTATTCCAGTCAAAACCCTGACTGATACAAAGGAAATGAACTTAAAATAATTCTGCAGAATTGAGGGATTGAATGGCTCTACTAAAATCAATCTATATGAAGAGAATGGAGATAAGCCTATGTCATTAAGCAGAGGAAAGTTGGGAAGGGCCTTTCCATCCCCCCAAAATAGTTAGACTTTGTCCCTTAGGCAGTGGAAAGCCACAGAAGTTTTCTTAGAAAAGGAGGTGAGGTGATCTTTTTTGTATGTAGAAAGATTACTGTAGCAATGAAAAGTTTCTAGCCACTCTATTCATGATTGCCAAACACTGGAAACAACCCAAACATCTTTCAATGTGTGAACAGACTGTGTTCTGGGACTATGGTAAATCTATGCAATGGAATACTATTTGGCAATAAAAAGGGAAAGAATTACTGATACACACAACAACATGGATGAACAATGGATGCAACATGGATGCAAATACATGCATATTATTCTAGTGAAAGATGCCAATCTCAAAAGGTTATAATTCCATTTATGTAGCTTTCTTAAGACAAACTAAATAGTGATGGAGAACAGACCAGTGAGTGCCAAGGGCTAGGATGGAGAGGGAGAAGACAACTAACTATAAAGAGATAGCACTGAGGGGCCCCTGGGTGGTCCAGTAGGTTAAGTTTCTGCTTTCAACTCTGGTCATGATCCCAGAGTCCTGGGATAGAGCGCCATGTTGGGCTCTCTACTCAGCGGGGAGTCTGCTTCTTCCTCACCTTCTGCCTGCCACTCACCCTGCTCAGACTCGTTCTCTCTGTGTCAAATAAATAAATAAAATATTTTTTAAAAGAGAGAGAGCGTGAAGGATGTTTTTAGGGGAGTAACAGAACTCTTGTATTCTGTCCATGTTGGGGTTTTTTTTAAGATTTTATTTTTAGGGATGCCTAGGTGGCTCAGTCAGTTAAGCATCTGTCCTTGGCTTGGGTCATGATCCCAGGGGCCTGGGATGGAGTCCTGCATTGGGCTCCTTTCTTAGCAGGAAGCCTGCTTCTCTCTTTGCCTGCTGCTCCCTCTACTTGTGCTCTCAATCTCTCTCTCTCTCTCACACACACACACACAAATAAATAAATAAAATCTTTTTTTAGAAAAAAGATTTTATCTTTAAGTAATCTTTACAACCAGCATGGGGCTGGAATTCACAACCTGGAGATCAAGAGTCACATCCTCTACTGACTGAGCCAGCCAGTCAGCCCATGTTCATGTTGTCTTCTAATGAAAATCTATACATACCTTAAAATTCAGGGAAGTGTATACTAAAAGAAAAAAGGCCAATTTAACTGTATTATCTTTGAAAAAATAAAATTACCCCAAAAAGTATTGGCTTTTCAAAAATAGATAAGCAGATTCTAATATCTGTATGGAACATATACAAAGAAAATTAACCAGAAAAAATTTTTGAAAATCTCAAAGATATGTTAAATGAAAAGAATCAAGTGTGTACAACATGCTACTATTTGTGGCACAAAATGAAGATTATAGATATGTATATGTTTGTGAATATAGAGTATTACCAGAAGACACAAGAAACTGGTAACAGAGGTTGAATGCCAGGAAGAAAACGTTGGCTGGGGGAACCAAGAGAGAGAAGTGTTATGTGCTTGAGTGCTGTTTGAATTCTGAATAATTTTTAAAGAGCTGAAAATGTGTTTTAAAAAGAAAAGTATCGAATCCCAAGAGTGAGGACTGAAGAGAGCAATGTGAGGGTAAGAGCTGAAGCCACAGAACTGAATGCAATTGGGCAGGAAGAACACATGGACAAGAACAGAAGCTGTAATCTGGTACCCCTATCTACATATGCAAAGGCGACAGAGGAAGATGGCCTGGAGATGAAGTTTAGCAGAAGCCTTGGCAGGGGAAGAAGCAAAAGGAAGAAGGGGAGGGGGAGTTCAAGAGAGGCAGAAGTGGTAAGGCGAAGTGGGATAGGAGAAGAAGGGAGGAGAGGGGAAGGGAGAAATCTGGAGCCAAGTTGTTTAGGGAAGGAAGAGATGATCTATAGGTCACATCAGAGTCAGTAAACATGAGGACAGGATAGAGATTTGGCATTTAGGGAATCACAAATGCCATCTGTAAGAGGAAGATAGGTATGATGGTTGGACAGAAGCCAAATTTCAGAGAGTGAAGAATGGTGATATGGGGGAAATGGAAATAAGATGAGAGAACTCTTACAAGAAGTTTGGTGGTGAAGGAAAGGAGAAATAGCAGGAGATGTGGAGAAGACCAGGGAGAGGAAACTTTATTTTCAATGCTATCAATTCTGGTGGTTGATTTTTTTAAGATCTAGGTAAGCATGAGCATGTTTACATTCAAAGGAGGGGGAGAAATTTAAGCTCCTGGAGAGATGATGATTGACGATGTGGGCTTCAAGTTGGTGATATGATAAAACCTCAAAAGCCCAGATAAAAGAGTGATTCATGGAAAGGTAGACAGTTAGGTCTCCCTCTAAAACCAGTGAGACACTGCCAAGGGTGGTACCATTGCAAAAATTTGAACAAGAAGAAGGAGTAAGTAGAGGGAGTTCATCTCTGGAAACCTTGATTTTCTTTGTGAAGAAGGAATGAAAGTTATCTGTTTAGAGTAAAGTACAAGGAGCAGAGCTTGAGGGGGGGGGAAACTACAAAAGAAAGACATATCTGCCTTTGTTAACAGACCCAACTTGAAAAACAAGCAAAAGGATGGCCAAGCAATTGAAGAAGTAAGTGGCAGAAAGCAGCTCAAAAAAAAAGATTTGATCACTCTCACTCACTCACTATCAATCAACAAATGTTTGGGGAACAAGGATGTGGTAGGCAGCCACCAAGATGGTGCACAAGGTTCTCACCTCCTAGAAATAACACCCTTACATAATCACCTTCTCTTGAGTGGGAGATGGATTTTTTTACTCACTTCAAAGGAACATAAGATGCCAGAGGTAATGTACTATTACTTCTCAGATTACATTATGGAAAGACTAATTTCTTTCTTGGGTGTTTTCTCTCTTGTTTTCCTACTCCCTTGTTTACTCACTCTGAGGGAAGTCAACTGCTCTAGGGGGAGCAATTGTAAGCTGCTTTATGGGGGACCTCATGTGACAAGCAACTGAGAGAAACCTCCAGCCACTAGCCAGTGAAAATTGAGGTCCCCAGTTCAACAATCTTGTAAATGTGCTTGGAAATGGATCTTCTTCCTCCAGTCAAGTCTTTATGAGACCACAGCTCCAATTTAACAGATTAACTTCAATTTCATGAAAAAACCTGAGGCAGAGGCACCCAGCTAAACCAAGCCCAGATTCCTGATTCATAAGAACAGTAATATACATGTTTATTGTTTTTAGCTGCTAAGTTTAGGGGCAATTTATTAAGCAACAATAGATACAAGTGCATAGAGCAATCAACAAAGGTAAGCAGTATCCCTGCTATCATGAAGCCTACATTCTAGAATAAAACACAGAAAAGAAACAAAATACGTATATACAGATATGAAGATGGTAAAGTATAACAACGTGGTAGGAATTAATGGTGGAAATGATTATAAGAGCCACTCAGGAAAGGCCTCTTTGGAGAGATGACATTTGAGCAGAGATGGCAATAATGGGTTGTGAGCTAAGATCTGAGGGAAGAGCATTCCAGCCCAGAGGAATAGTAAAGGCCCTGAGGCAGGGACAACTTGGTGTCATTCTTGGAGAAGAAAGGCAGCCAGGGTGCCTGGAGCACAGTGGATGAAATAATAATGTTGGGAGAGCCTCGAAGGCTATGATCAGGAGACTTAGACACTTACTCTAAGGATGATGGCAGGGGCGGGGTGGGGAGAATCATCTCACAAAGATGAGTACCTATCTCAGGACTTTTCTATTATTATTTTTTATTGTTATATTAGTCACCATACAGTGCATCATTACTTTTTGATATAGTGTTCCAAGATTCATTGTTTACATGTTAACACCCAGTGCTCCTTTCAATATACACCATCCTTAATACCCATTACCCCACCCCGCTCCCTTCTAAAACCCTGTTTCTCAGAGTCCACAGTCTCTCGTGGTTCATCTCCCCCTCCAGTTTCCCTCCTTCATTTTTCCCTTCCTTCTCCTAAAGTCCTCCATGGTATTCTTTATGTTCCACAAGTAAGTGAAACCATATGATAATTGGCTTTCTCTGCTTGACTTACTTCACTCAGTATAATCTCCTCCAGTTCCATTGATGTTGATGCAAAAGTTAGGTATTCATCCTTTCTGATGGCTGAGTAATATCCCATTGTGTACATGGACCATATCTTCTTTATCCATTCATCTGTTGAAGGGCATATTCACTCTTTCCACAGAGTGGCTATTGTGAACGTAGCTACTATGAACATTGTGGTGCATATGGCCCTTCTCTTCACTGCATCTGTATCTTTGGGGTAAATACCCAGTCGTGTAATTGCTGGGTCATTAGGGTAGCTCTATTTTCAACTTTTTGAGGAACCTCCATACTGTTTTCCAAATGCCTGTACCAACTTGCATTCCCACCAACAGCATAAGAGGGTTCCCCTTTCTCCACATCCTCTCCAACATTTGTTTCCTGCCTTGTTAATTTTTGCCATTCTAACTGGTGTAAGGTGGTATCCCAGTGTGGTTTCAATTTTAATTTCCCTGATGGCTAATGATGATGAACATTTTTTCATGTGTCAATTAATCATTTGTATGTCTTCCATTGGAGAGTGTCTGTTCATGTCTTCTGCCCATGTTTTGACTTGGTTATTTATTTTTTGGGTGTTGAGATTGAGAAGTTCTTTATAGATTGGATATCAGTCCTTTGTCTGTAGTGTCATTTGCGAGTATCTTATCCCATTTCATGGGTTACCTCTTTGTTTTGTTGACTGTTTCCTTTGCTGTGCAGAAACTTTTTATCTTGATGAGGTCCCAAAGTTCTTTTTCATTTTGTTTCCTTTGCCTTTGGAGACATGTCTTGAATGAAGTTACTATAGCTGATGCTGAAGAGGTTACTACCTCTGTACTCCTCTAGGATTTTGATGGATTCTCTCTGGACTTTTCTTAAAGTTGAAGACCCTCACATCTCCCCCCACCTTCTCTATTGGAGCTCAGTCCCTCCAGCTTCTGCACCTAGACCTCTAAGTCACCACTTAAGCTATAAACAGTCCTCCCCTTTCCCTCACACTGCCCATCTGCAGTTTCTGCCAAAAGCCACTTACCTCTGAGCTTTGTTGGAAAAGTCTGGGGCTGCTGCCATAGATTGGATCCAAACAGGAAGCATAAGCCATTCACATAGGTGTTCTCCTTACAAGTTTGGTGCACGGTGGGGCCACAGGCCTGGGAAAGGTTGCAGGTGGCAGGGTTTGTTCCTGTTTCCTGTCCTTTCACCCCAATACCTCCACCCTCCACAGACCACAGCTCCAGCAGCCATGGACCCCCAACTCCTTCCCTCAGGACACTCCCATGACCCAGGACAACTCACCAGCAGTTGGAAAGGGTTCGTGGCAAATGCCAGAGACAGGCCCAGAGACATATTCACCGCCTCCAGGGGGACTGGGGAGACATAAATACATGGTCAGCTTTGGGGAGTAAAAGGGGCTCTGTGAAGGTGAATAGAGGTCACTTTGACCTGGGAGACATGGAGACCTGACAGTTCAAGAAGGAACCCAAGTCCTAGGAAAGGAACATGAAGGGAGTACCTGAGGATGTCTGAGGTCAAGTCTGTATGCACACAGAGGCTGGGGAGCTGAACACCTGGGCCCCTCAATCACACACTCCCAAAGCAAAAGGAATTCCTGGAAAGTTTGGGTGTATGGACAGGTGGAAACCTAGCCCTGGGTCCCAGGGAGGGGCAGTGACTCACCCTGCAGGCGGATGGACTCACACTTGCCCGTGCTGTAGTCACACTGGTAGAGGCCACCTGTTTGGTTGGCAGCCTTTTTCTCCTGGGGGGCTCCAACAATAAACCTGGGGAGGTGAGATAGGAACAAATCACCACAGGGACAAGAACAAACTCTGATGTCTGAGGAGAGAAAGAGATCATAGAAGTTCGGCCACCCAAAGGAAAGTGAGGACCCACGACCCTCACAGGTATTTCCCAATTCCCCAGAAATAGGAGGAAGACTCCGCAAAGAAAAAAATTGGAAAATTTTAAGTTGTGGAAGGGGAAGGGCCTCTCTAAGAATGATACAAAACCAAGAAGTCATTTAAAAGTTGTTGAATCCTATATTGTACATCTGAAACTAATATAACACTGTACATTAACTATACCAGAATTAATTTTTTTTTAAATGAATACATTTAATCACAGACCACAGTCATTTTAAATAAATTTCTGTATGTGGTATCAGGGAAATCCAAACCAAAACCATAATGAGGTATCACCTTATACCTGCAGCATGGCTAAAATCAAAAAAACACAAGAAACAACAGGTGCTAAAAGGATATGGAAAAAGGGGAACCCTCTTGCACTGTTGGTAGGAATGCAAACAGGGGCAGCCACTCTAGAAAACAGCATGGAGGTTCCTCAAGAAGTTAAAAACAAAAACAAAAACAAAGTTAAAAACAGAACTACCTTATGATCCAGCAATTACATTATTGGATATTTACCCAAAGAATATAAAAACACTAATTCAAAGGGATACATGCATCTCAATGTTTTTACCAGCATTATCCAAAATAGCCAAATTATGAAAGAGCCCATATGTCTATAAATTGATGAATGGATAAAGAAGAAGTGGTATATTGGGGTGCATTACTGGCTAAGTCAGTGGAACATGTGACTCTTGATACTGGGGTTGTGATTTTGAGCCCCATGCTGGATGTAGAGATTACTTACAAATAAAACCTTAAAAAAAAAAGAAGTTATGGTACATATATACAAAGGAATATTACTCAACCAAAAGAAAGAATGAAATCTTGCCATTTGCAATGACATGGATGAGTTAGACAGTATTATGCTAAGTGAAATAAGTCAATCAGAGAAAGACAAATACCGTAAGACTTCACTTATATGTGGAATTTAAGAAAACAAGCTAAGGAACACAAAAAAGAAAAGGAGAGAGGCAAACCAAGAAACAGACTCAACTATAGAGAACAAACTGATGGTGACTAGAAGGGAAAAGGATTGGGGATGGATTAAATAAGTGATGGGGATTAAGGAGTGCCATTTGTGATGAGCACTAGGCATTATATGGAAGTGTTGAGTCACTGTATTGTACACCTGAAACTAATATGCCACTGTATGTTAACCACCTAGAATTTAAATTAAAACCTTTTAAATTTTTTCTGTATGTGCAAATGGCAACAGACACATGAAAAAAAAAGTGTTCTACATCACTGAGCATCAGGGAAATATAAATCAAAATCACAAAGAGATACCACTTCATACCAGTCAGAATGGCTGAAACTAACAAGTCAGAAAACAACAAATGTTGGTGAGGATATGGAGAAAAGGGAACCCTCTTACACTGTTAGTGGGAATGCAACCTGGTATGGCCACTCTGGAAAACCATATGGAGGTTAAAAATAGAGCTACCCTATGACCCAGCAATTGCACTGCTAAGTATTTACCCCAAGATACAAACATAGTGATCTGACAGGGAACTTGCACCCCAATATTTATAGCAGCAATGTCCACAATAGCTAAACTATGGAAAAAGCCCAGATGTCCATCAACAGATGAATGAATAAAGAAGATGCAGTTTAAATATACAATGGATTATCAGTCAGCCATCAAAAAAGATGAAATCTTACCTTTTACATCGATGTGGATGGAACTGGAGGGTATTATGCTGAGAAAAATAAGCCAATCAAAGAAAGACAACTATCATATGGTTTCACTCATATGTGGAATATGATAAATAGTGCAGAGGATCATAGAAAAGGGAGGGAAAACTTAATGGGAAGAAATCAGAGATGGAGAAAAACCACAAGAGACTCTTAATCTCAGGAAACAAATAGGATTCCTGGAGGGGAAGTGGGTGGGGAGATGGGGTAACTGGGTGATGGGCATTAAGGAGGGCACATCATGTGATGAGCATTGGGTATTATATGCAACTGATGAATTACTAAACTCTACATCTGAAACTAATTATGTTGGCTAACTGAAGTTAAATAAAAATTTTCTCTACATGATAAACTACCACAAGCAATCAAAGGACAAACAACAAACTGGGCAGAGGAAGATTAGCAACTCATGCCACAGACTACTTTCCTCAATAGTTAGAGCTCCTACAAACCAATTAAGGAAGAAAAAACAACAGAAAAATGGGCAACAAATAAGAAAAAGGTGTTCACAGAAAAGGAAATCTATCTCTCATTTAAACATAAGTGCAATCTAAAACTAAATTGAGATACCATATCTCACCTATTCAATTTGCAAAGAACAATTAAGTTTGATAACACACTGGGCTGGCAAATGGGTGGGGAAGAAGGTGTTTCAATAAATTTCTGGTATGAATGAAAATTGTTGCCACCTCCATAAAGAGTAATCTGTAAAAACCTATTAACATTACACATACATATGTATCCTTTGATCCTGGAATCCTAGTTCTGGGAACTTACTTCCAAACATACTTGCACATATGCAAAATGACAGCATTTTTCACATCACAGAAGTCTGGAAACAATCTAATGTCTATTAAGAAGACAAGGGGAGATGGAGAGGAGAAGGGAGTTGAGGGAAATTGGAAGAGGAAGTGAACCACGAGAGACTATGGACTCTGAAAAACAATCTGAGGATTTTGAAGGGGTGGGGGGTGGGAGGTTGGGGGAACCAGGTGGTGGGTACTAGAGAGGGCACGTATTGCATGGAGCACTGGGTGTGGTGCAAAAACAATGAATGTTGTTACGCTGAAAAGAAATAAAAATAAATAAATAAATAAATAAATAAATAAATAAGAGAGATTTAAGTGTAATATCAATGTAAATTATAATACATCAAAATAATAGATTATGAAGCAAGCATAAAAAAGAAAGAGTAAGATAAATAAATCTTTCTAAAAAATGGGGTGCCTGGGTGGCGCTGTTGGTTAAGAATCTGACTCTTGGTTTCAGCTTAGGCCATGACCTCAGGATCATGAAATCAAGCCCCACGCACTCTACATAGAGTCTGTTTAAGATTCTCTCTTCCTCTCCCTTTGCCCCTCACCCATGCTTGCTTGCACACGCTCACTCTTTCTCTCTAACAAATAAATAAATCTTAAAAAAAAAAAAAAAGAATGAGTAAGGTCTTTATACATTTATCGGGTAAAATCACCAAGCTCTATTAAGAAAAAAAAAATTCAGAGTTCAGTATAGAGCAGAGGCCAGGAAACTTTTTCTGGAAAGGTACTATTATTTCCATAAATATTATTTCATATAGGCAAATATTTTAGGCTTTGCAGACCATATACTCTCTTTTGAAGACTCTTGATTCATTTTAAATCCAAAGCAACCATAAACAATGAATAGCAAGTTGGGATGAAGGTTGTGTCAATAAAATTTTTTCACAAAAATAGGCAGCAGGCTGAAGTTTGAGTATAACATGCTACAAATTGTGTGTGGTATGGGGGTTAGGGAAATGTGGAGGCACACACAGCATAGAACCTCTATGGAAGAACCCACAAGAAACCATTTACCAGGGACCCTCCTGAGTAGGGAATGGGGGAAAGGAGTGTATGCTGAGAAGACTTTACTATTACATTCTATCTTTCAAATGTAGAACTCTGTAACTGTATTTCTGATACAAAAATAATAAATCAAGAAAAAAATAAAGGAAATTGTGGGGTTTTTTTTCAGGCATATATGTTTTAAAGAGAATAAGTATAAGACAGACCTCCACCTGCAGTCCTTACCGGGATCCCTCAAGCTGGACCACACTGTGCCCAAAACTCCTTGCATTCTCTTGGAAGATTGCTGCTTTTTCAGTCTCCAGGTTGAACCCATCACATAGTAAGACCAAGGCTAGAGGAAGGACAAGCGGTGAGGATCAGGCAGGGATAAGAAGATAAGAAAGCAACTTACCCTCCTGCTCCATGCATCTACTGGCTGAAACTCACCCAAACCCAGCATAGAAATATCTGTCTCCCAAGTCCAGCTCTATTAGCCTGAGGCAGAGGTTGGCACACTTTTTCTATAAAGGACCAGGTATTTTAGGTTTTGTGGCCCAATAAAACAAGAGAGAAAATGCATTCCACACATTTTTCAATAAGGAAAGACAAAATATAATAATTGAGTACTGATTAGGGGTGCCTGGCTGGCTTGATCAGTAGAGCCTGTGACTGTTGATCTCAGGTTTGTGGGTTCAACCCCTATGTTGTGTGTAGAGATTGCTTAATAAAATCTTTTCCAAAAATTTACTAATGAGACAAATGGAATTCTTTGGGGAAGATAACATCTCTGGGATTCAAAGTTAGTATTCCCTATCATAAATAGATTATAAATGCTCCTTTGAGGGGTGTCTGAGTGACTCAGAGGGATGAGCAACCAACTCTTGATCTCAGGTCGGGTCTTGATCTCAGGGTCCTGAGTTCAAGCACCACATTGAGCTCAATGCTGGGTGTAGAGCCTACTTGAGAAAATTCTTAAATAAAAATAAATAAATGCTCATCTGAGACCTATGGCTCACAAGTGGCTTAAAAACAGGTGGGAGGAAGCATCCCTGAATCCCCACAAGCCCCAGTTGCTGATTCCTGATAGTTGAAGGGGGTGCATTCAGCCGGTCTCTATCTCCACCCTGTGCTCCCACCTACTGATTTGCCCAACAATCAAGTTCCTAAAGATTCTCAATTAGGTAATTTCCTTCCTGTGCAATTATCAAGCACTTTTTTTCCCTTTGGTTCATTCTCTACAAATTCTCTACAAAGCACGGGCATAAAAGGAAACAAAACTGAAAAATTTTGGCCAGCCACCTAACATTTACTCCTGGATTCTTGGAAAACAGAACTCTGGACAAAGTGAAGGTGATAAGATGGAATCCAAGAAAAAAACACTCAGAATCCAATATGCGTTGTGCACCCTTGGGCATATCATTCCACCTCTCTGGGGCCTCAGTTTCCTGATCTGTAAAGTGAAGGGGACAGCCAAACCCCACTGCATAGTCCATGAATTTAATTATTCATCCAAGCTTCTCTGGGTATCTTGGTCTGGTTCTACTCTCGGCTTCTTTTTGAATCCCTTATCTTTCCCCAAACCCTCTTTATAGTCCCTCAGGCTAGTTCCTACATATTCTGTGCCACCTCTCTCCACTCAGACTCATAAAACCCCTCCTTACCCTGAGTCCCCCTCCCCCTGAAGTCCCTGGTGTACCTGTTAACAGAAGGACTCTGTGAGTCATAGCTGGAGGGAGCAGGAACTGCGGGGCTGCACATCCCACTGAGCCACTTCAAGAAAGCCACCAAGCACTGGAAGGACAGAAAAGGAGAAGCTTGAGGCAGAAGTCTGGTAGCAATTCAAAGGAAGAGGGCGGAGGCTCAGGGAGCACACCAGCCCTGCTTAACATTTTCCTGGGGCTGCAAACAGCCTGCGCTCCCTTCCTAACCAGATTCCTGGCCCAAACTATCAAGATCATTGTCCCAAGTGATGTGGGAAACAAAGGCAGAAGAAAAAATTATTAAATTTCCTTATTAAGTACAGCCCATTGACAAGTCCTTGAAACATTCCTCTAGGGACTCAACTGCCTCGATGTTAATACTTTCTTAAGGGCAAAAGGCAATGCTAGCCTGACCCCCTCACCCCAGGATCCTGTAAGTCTACTTTAACTATAAAAATTCCTTTGGAAACTTTCTTTATCTCTAAAACCCCCAAGATACGTTTTGGCAATCATTCCTCAAGCATATGACTCACCAATATAATCTGAAGGGTCTCATAACTAAGATTTTATTAGACAGTAATAAATGATCAGCTATTAGTTGAGGGGTGCTCTCTGGAGTAGCCTTAATTCTCTGGTACTCCCAACCTGCCTGCCATTATGCTCAGGAAGAAGAGGCTCCAGAGGCAGAAAGAGCCCTCAGGCAACCACTTGCAGGCAATGACAGCTAGAAATCTGGCCAGTTTGCATGAGAATGTTAAATACCAATGGCGTGTGAGGAGAGAAACTACAATGTCTGCTACAAATACTCAAATGTTTTTTTCTTAGCACTTATCATTACATGAAATTATATATTTATTTGGGGTTTTTTTTATTGTCTAACCCCCAACTAGACTATATAAGCTCCCTGAGAGCAGAGATTCTTATGTATCTTGCTCATCACTCTATTTCCAGTGCACAGGACAGTGGCTGGCTCATAGAAAAGATTCATAATAAAAATTAATTGAATCAGAATGAAAATTTCAGAAAGATAGCAGAGTAGGGAGTATCAGGAATCCTTCTCCCTACCTAGACGGCAATTGTACTGGCAGAACGTGTCTTATGTGACTATATAGGAATTCTGGAGTCTATTTAGAGACTCGTGGCAAATTTCAGTCTATTTCAGTTCCCAGTACTACGGCAGCTATGGATCCCCTATCTCCCACAGGTGGAAGGACACTGTGCTTGTGTTCCAGGAGCAGCTTGCATGCAGCTTGTAGGAGTGTTCTGATTGCTGATTGCCCCTTCTGATCTCAGAAGTTCAGACACGGGCAGGCAACCATGTTGGGCCCCACCCATTTATGCAAGCACTTCCATCTCTGGCAGATTCAACTTCCAGGAGATTTAATGGGCTGGTGCCTTTTTCTCCTCCATTTTTCTCCTTTTCCACTTTTGGGAACCAGAGTAACACATGCTTTTCAAGAACTAGGATATTTGGGATGCCTGAGTGGCTCAGACAGTTAAGTGTCTGCCTTCGACTCAGGTCATGATCCCAGGGTCCTGGGTTGGAGTCCCACATCAGGCTCCTTGCTCAGTGGGGAGCCTGCTTCCCCTTCTCCCTTTGCCTGCCACTCCCCCAACTTGTGCTCTGTCTCTCTCTGTGACAAATAAATAAATAAAATCTTAAAAAAAAAAGAACTAGGACATTCAAAAGCAACTGCTAATCCCTATCAAAGTACCACCAACTTGTTTCAAAGAAATGAAACAAATAATCCTAAAATTTATATGGAACCAGAAAATAGCCAGAGGGATGTTGAAAAAGAAAACCACAGCTGGGGGCATCACAATTCCAGACGTCAAGCTCTATTACAAAGCTGTAATCATCAAGACAGTATGGCACCAAAAAAGACACATAAATCAATGGAATAGAACAGATAGCCCAGAAATGGACCCTCAACTCTATGGCCAATTAATATTTGACAAAAGGAGGAAGAATATCCAATGGAAAAGATAGTCTCTTCAACAAATGGTGTTGGGAAAATTAGACAGCTACATGCAGAAGAATGAAACTGGACCATTTCCTTATACCACACACAAAAATAGACTCCAAATGGATGAAAAACCTCAATGTGAGACAGGAATCCATCAAAATCCTTGAGGAGAACATAGTCAGCAAACTCTTCAATCTCAGCCACAACAACTTCTTCCTAGGAACATTGCCAAAGGCAAAGGAAGCAAGGGCAAAAATGAACTATTGGGACTTCATCAACACAAAAATCTTTTGAAATAAGTGAACCAGAGAAAGACAATTATCATATGATCTCTCTGATATGAGGAATTTGAGAGGCAAGGTGCAGGGGTCATGGAACATAGAGAGGGAAAAAAAAAAAAAACAAGGTGGGACCAGGGAGGGAGACAAACCGTGAGACTCTTAATCTCAGGAAACAAATTGGGCATTGTTGGGGATTGGGGAGGAGGGACAGGGTGGCTGGGTTATGGACATTTGGGAGGGTATGTGCTATGGTGAGTATTGTGAATTGTGTAAGACTGATGATTCACAGACCAGTACCCCTGAAGCAAATACATTATATGTTTATTTAAAAAAAAAAAAACTTCTGTACAGGAAAGGAAACAGTCAATAAAACCAAAAGACAACCAACAGAATGGGAAATGACATATCAGATAAAGGGCTGGTATCCAAAATCTATAAAGAACTTATCAAACTCAACACCCAAAGAACAAATAATCCAATCAAGAAATGGACAAAAGACACGAACAGACATTTCTGCAAAGAAGGCATCCAAATGACCAACAGATACATGAAAAAGTGCTCCACATCACTCGGCATCAGGGAAATACAAATCAAAACCACAGTGAGATACCATCTCACACCAGTCAGAATGGCTAAAATTAACAAGTCAGGAAATGACAGGTGTTGGCAAGGATACGGAGAAAGGGGAACCCTCCTACACTGTTGGTGGGAATGCAAGTGGTGCAGCCACTCTGGAAAATAGTATGAAGATTCCTCAAAAAATTGAAAATAGAGCTACCCTATAACCCAGGAATTGCACTACTGGGTATTAATCCCAAAGATACAAGTGTAGTAATCTGAAGGAGCACCTGCACCCCAATGTTTATAGCAGCAATATCCAGAATAACCAAACTATGGGAAGACCCAATATGTCCATCAACAGATGAGTGGATAAAGATATGAGATATATATACAACATAATATTATGCAGCCATCAAAAAATATCTTGCCATTTGCAATGATGTGGATGGAACTAGAGAGTATTAGGCTACATGAAGTAAGCCAAGCAGAGAAAGACAATTATCATATGAGCTCACTGATATGAGGAATTTGAGAAACAAGACAGAGGCTCATAGGGGATGGGAGGGAAAAATGATACAAAGTGAAACCAGAGAGAGAGACAAACCATAAGCAACTCTTAATCTCAGGAAACAAACAGGGTTGCTGGAGGGGAGGGGGGTGGGAAGGATAGGGTGGCTGGGTGATGGACATTGGGGAGGGTATGTGCTATGGTGAGTGCTGTGAATTGTGTAAGACTGAAGAATCACAGACCAGTATCCCTAAAACAAAGTTTTAATTTCAAAAACTAAGAAATAACAAAATCTTTTTTAAAAAAGCAACTGCTACAGAAAAGAGTTTAGAAAGTCTCTATAATTGCCCTAAGAAGACCTTAATAACTCAAGCTCATCCCTGGCACAGAGATAACCTATAACAATGAGAGAGAGAGAGAGAGAGAGAGAGAGAGAGGGGACAAACCCCTGGGGAAAGGAAATAATCTGACTTCCAGAGTTACTATATTGTTAGAAAGTATGGCCCATTCAAAGGGAAAAAACAAAAACTATTCCAGAGAAAGACCAGATGGTAGACCTACTAGATAAAACTTTAAAACAACTGTCTTAAAGTTGCCCAAATAACTAAAGGAAAACATAAAGAAAAAACATATGAAAATGAAAATATCAATAAAAAGAAAACCAAAATAAAAAATAACCTAAAAAGAAACCAAAAAATTCTAAAGCCAAAAACCACAGTAACTAAAGTATAAAATTCACCAGAAGGATACAAAAGCAGGTTTGAGCAGACAGAAACATGAATCAGCAAACTTAAAGGTAGGACAATAACCTGAAGTTATTGAGTCTAAGAAACAGAAAGAAAAAAAAATTAAAGAAAAGTTAAAAGAGCCTACAGGACCTGTGGAACATCATTAAGCAGACCAATATAAACATTGTGGGAGTGCTAGAAGAGAAAGAGAATCAGAGAGATTATTTGAAGTAATAATAACTGAAAAATTCCCAGCTTTTTTGAAGGACCTGAGTATATATATATATATTACGAAAGTTCAATAAAATCCAAGTAGAATGAATTCAAAGAGACCCATACAAAATATATTATAATCAAACTGTCAAAAACTAAAGACAAGAGAGTCTGAAAGCAGCAGAAGAGAAGTGAATCATTACATAGAAGGTATATTAAATAAGATTTCAGCCAATTTCTCATCAAAAACTTTGGAGGCCAGAAGGCAATGGGCTGAAAGAAAAAAACTGTAAGCCAAGAATTTTATATTCCACAAAACTGTCCTTCAAAAGTGAAGGAGAAATCAAGACATTCTCAGGTTAACAAAAGCTGAAGGAGCTCATTACCACTAGACCTACCCAGAAAGAAATACTAAAGGTAGTCTTGCAATTTGAAATGAAAGGACACTAGAAAACAGCTTGAAGTCATATGAATAAATAAAGATCTCAGTAAAGAGGAATACCTGCAATTATAAAACTAGTATTATTATAAAAATGTTGCATTATAGGCGCCTGGGTGGCGCAGTCAGTTAAGTGGCTACCTTCAGCTCAGGTCATGATCCCGGCGTCCTGGGATCAAGCCCCTCATTGGGCTCCCCAATCAATGGATAGTCTGTTTCTCCCTCTCCCTCTGCCTACTGCTCTGCCTACTTGTGATCTCTCTCTTTCAAAAAAATAAATAAAATCTTTTAAAAATAATAATAATAAGGTTGCATTATGACTTTTTTGGTTTTCTATAGGATTTAGGAGATTACTACACTTTGTAAACCATTAGTCTAAAGACTAGTATTACTATAGCTTTGGTTTGTATGCCACATTTTG